TAAACGATTATCGTCGTATATGAACTCGCTATCTTTATGAACTATGTTGAAACATGCAGTCTACATCGCGTGGTTGCCTCACATTTTGAATATGCGTCAATAACGTGTGCACTTGTAATATACTTACAATTAAATTATACGCGCGGACGTTAATCACGTCGCCAGAGGAAAAAAGAAGTTACATAAATCGGTCTGATCGTACATGTCAGCTCTAGTGAAAAACCACCGTGCTTTAATGCATGTTAATTGCGGTCGAGTAATGCGTTCAGTATGAATTTTAATTCTACCGATAGCCATTGCAGAAGTAAGCATTATGTGACCGTCGAATGATTCATGAGTGATAACCGGAGGGTAACTCATGAATTATAAACCAGTTTTCTTATCGTACTCGTTTACATATTGTAATCATATTGTGTGAATTATGAACAACGGTTGTATTAATTTCTCTTATTTAATCTCGCTTACATTAAAAATATAAATCGACTGAAAGGTATTATATTTTAGAAGATTAGAGTAATCATTGTTATCACGTGTGTTAATAATGAAATTAATAACGAAATTGAAATAATTCTTCTCACTTCAGTACTTGTGCTTTACGATGTGATTACACAATCGTTTATATTTACACGGTAGAGGAAAGGTTTACGAGATCTTCGAGGACTCCGTAAATTAAATATAAATATGTATTACGAGGCAATAAAGCAACTGAACTCTAAGCTTTCGACAAAGGAGCCATACCTTCTTCGAGGATTATTGAACAAGCGACTACAAACTTCCTTACAAACTTCCTCTCCTCTACGCATGAGTATTGCGCCGTTTTTCACGAAATAACAGAGAAGTCGGTACTCACGTGTTGCAAGGCGGAATTTGATTTCCGCGACATTCCCTGCGAGCAAAGTTCCAGAATCGATGCCACATGTACTTATTTCATCTAAAAGGAAGAAATAAATTTTCTCTGACAGGTAGAGTTCAGGATTTGCGCGTTCTCCGTAGAACATTATTGCAGCATATTACGCACTTTAATAAGATACAAATTAAATTTTAACATATTGAAGAAAGAGTCTGGTAATAGTTAACAATTGTTGGGTGAAATAATTCCAACCAAATTTTCGATTAATATACCATAATAAAAAATAATTTTACTTTTCTATGTAAATATTTAGTAAGTATTTCTGAACATAATAATATCATCAACCATAATACTAAATATTTAGAAAAATAAAATTATTTTTTATTGTATTAGTCGAACACTTGACTGAAATTATTTCACTCAACATTTGCTAAATTAGTTATTATCAAACTCTCTTTTCAATGCATTACGTTTTAATGTTATACTTACAAAACGATATAAATTGTAATTTTTAAATTCGATCTTCCAAATATTGCAGTATATAATTCTAAATTCCAGCTTCTAAATAAAATTTATATTGTTCTCGCCGTACACTAAATACGAACGCGAAATTCGCGTAATTCGCTAGACTTGAATGCTATGTATGATGTGTTGAACGAAATACACCCTTGTGGATCATCGAGTTGCTGAGTATTCGGAGCAGGGGTAATGGGACACGTAATAACATTTGTAGGGTCACGTAACGATCGACATGTCACATCGTCGCTTTATGGATTCAGCGACAACCTCGTAGACTGAAATAAACGAGAGCAGAATAAAGATAGAACGCGCATGCTGCGCTTAAAAACTAAGAGATAACTGGAAAATCAGAGATTAAAGAGGAAGTAGAACAAGATAATTAATGGACGTTATGATGGATGGACTGCCAAAAAGAATCCTTTAATAACAAATAAACAGTTCTAATATAACAGTTTTAATAAAAAAAGGTACACTTTACGGAAGAAACATATTAAACGAGAACGATATTTAATATTCATTTATATACCTGACAGTAAAAACCTTCGAGTATCCCTCATATGTATTTCTCGAAGATGAAACATTATAGAGAAAAGTTCTTCTTCGTTAAAAGTTCTCTATTGTGCAGAATGTCCAAATGTTTAATTTATACTCCGGAATTCAATTGAATCGCAGTTCTTTCAACTCTCGACCTAGATTACAAAATGGTCGCAGTAATTTAGTATTGAAAATCATATTTTAACGTGAGAAAAGTTCATTTACAAAATGAACATGAGCTATGCATAGACAAGTCCGATAACTTTTTAAAACTAGTATTTATATTCGTGTCCGTGTCCTATTTATATCCGTTCATTATTTAAACAAAATGTTTAAATGGAGGTGGAAACTTTATTCTTGGATTCATAAGTGACGAGATCACCGGAGCGCGAAGTAATAAATGGAAGCTTGGAGATACGGCAAGACCGTGTGCAGACAAAACAATAAAAGTGGATAAGGAATAAATAAAATGAATGAAAAAGGCGGGGAAAAAGAGACGGAAAACGGTGAGGAATTGCGGACGAAGGAACAACTTGAATCGAGAGACAAAAAGGGGAAAGAAAGTGAAAGAAAGAAGGAAAGGAAGACAGACGGAGAAAAAATGTTGGAGAGAACGAAGAGCTGTGCGAGAGATGAGAGTGAGAGAGGGTGCGAGTTTATAGAGGTTGAGGGCGGTAAGCGGAAGAAGGGGAGAAGAGAGGGTGCTGCAGACGCGCCACGACAAGGGTAAATGTACGTACGAATGCACCCCGGATTGGCTTCGGGATGGTTTCCATGGAAACCAATTCGCTCGGCCCGGGGAAGTCGTCGTCGCCGCTTCCACCACCGTCACCGCCACCACCACCGCCGCCGCCACCACCACCGCCACCACCATCACCATCATCACCACCGCCACCACCGTAACTGCCACCACTAGCGCAGCTTTCCCCGGAAAATCGTACTGCCTCTAAACGTCAAAAAGTTGGAAACGACTGGTTCGCTCATTACCTGCGGGTACTCGCACGCGAGATCTCCACTTGTTGGAAATTCACGATGGAAAAGTAAAATTGTCAGCCAGGTCTCCTTCGATATAAAAAGCTCGATTAAATTCAGTAAATTGTATTTGTTTTGACGGACTTAATTTTGGTCTCGATAACGGACTGCGTTTTAAATAGTGAAGCACATGATATATATATATATATATTGAGTTTGTCTCTTATTTTTTATTTTTGACCCACATTTCGCATATGATTGATGAAAATAATAAGAGGAAAATACAGAAGCAAATTAAATGCATAACTTTTACAATAATTTATAAAACCTTTATAGTAAAATTTATTTATATTGTGATAGGAAGGCTTTATATTAGAGAGTTTTTGCAATAACGTAAATTCAGATACGGTGAACGCTAAAGTCACGCTATCTTTTTCTTAATTAGTTGTTAAGAAGAAAATAATCTGACCTTAGCGTTCACCGTATCTAGATAAACGCTATTGCAAAAACTCCCTATTGTCTCTAGAAAGACAACTGTACTTAAGTAACAGATTTACTTTTTGTATAATTTCTGAAAAAAATTTGATGCGTAAATCTGATAAAAAAATAATAATACGAAGGCGCCTAGTCATGTAATTTTTGAAAAGCCATAGCAGCAGATTCATTGTATGTACACAGATTAATTAAATGCACGTTTTTTTTGTTGAAAAATTATTTAGAAATATTAAGTCTTTTTCTGCTTGGCACATTTTATGTAGTTGCATGTCAATAAATTCAAGAAAGTCGTAAGGAAGTTGAGAATATAAATGCAAAAATCAAGAATTTTCAGCGTGTGATGATGAGAAACTCGAAGAGAAATTTACGACGCCAACGTTCCGACTCCGATAATTCCGTACTTAGTAAGATGTGGCGACATCGCCGCATCGTTACATAAAATCTGACGTAAGCGAAAATTCATAATTTACATTGTCAGGATATAATTCTTAGACAATCTAGAAAGTTCATCCCCTACAGCGATATAAAACCGCCGCAGGGAATAAAAGTTTTTATTTTGAAAATTACACTCTCCGTGTATGTAAAGTAAATCTGTAGAGAAATATTTTTGAACGAACATATTCTGTACAGTATCAGATTCAAACATAATTATGAATAATTAATATTTAAAAATATTTAATATAAAAGTATGAAATTTTTCTCTCGTCAAAATATTTAATATAAGCAATTAGAACTGGTGATTACAGAATAAAATTAGAAATGTACATTTGTAATAAATGGTCATTTTACATTTTCATAAAAAATTCAATTTAAAATCTAATTGGAAATGAGATTTCATTAAGGAACTTTTGTGGGATAATATCATGTTGGAATTCTTTAACAGACAGGAAATTGTGTACGAAGGATAGAATTCCACAATTCCCCTATACATTACCTTGACACGGTTGACGTATAAGATGTGTATTTTTACCAAACGACATGAGGCATAAATTCTCTTCTCTCGTACCGGGTGTAAACTCAAAGTTCGCAAATTGAACGACCGCGAGGGGCGATAGGATTACAGCAACTTGTGCTACGCAGACACGGTCGTCTCTAATAAAATTGTCCCTCCGGGGGCTGATTTCCGTTGCCGTGTGAAAGCGTCCTAATTGTATGCGCGAAATAGCGCTGAGTAATCTCAGTATAATTTCATTGGCGTTGCGATCTATTCGTTCTGGCCATCTGGCACGATCGCGCGGTATCGCCAGAACGAAATACATGTGAATATAACGAGGACGGGGGAGAGTTCCCGATGTGCCGGCGTCGGGGTAACTTCCGCAATTTAGCGTAGAATGACGTTTCAAAGTTCTTTTAGGGGATGAAAGCCCGGGACATGCGCGTCTTATAAAAAATATTTTCTTTCCTCTGCCTTCAGAAGCAACGGCATATTTTTTATTTAGTGAGCTGATGGCGTAAACTGTAAGCGTTTAACAACGTTTGCGTAAACATTATTGCAATAAAAGGACGTTAACCAAAGGTACGTCAGCTGATCATTGACTTTTATTCAAAATAGAATAATCTTCCATTTTATTTCAATTTTCAGCGATATCAAGTAATTTAATATTAGCAATTATCTGTTATAATTACATCTTTACAACGCGTATAGCACAGAGACATATGACGCTGACGATTTAATGATCTACGACAAACAAAATTTCTACGTGTATAAAAAATAAATATTATTATAATTGTATACATTTCTTTTTAAATTCATAATTTACACCTAGCGAATGTAATAAGGTACACAGTTTCAACAATAATCCGAGCAACGTTACGTAAAACTTACATTCGCGAACTGTTGCAAAGAGAGATTCATGAACTTGCCGACGGTGATCGTCAGTTGTTTTTGTGACCTCATTATCAGGAATAGAAGGATTCGATTTTCGCTGGGAGTCAAATCATACCATACAGACTGGTACGCCGCGTCGCCGATCATCTTGCTCTGCAGGAAGTCAAGTCGAAGCGAAAATTCGGAACGTGGAAAATAAGAGAAATAAAATTGCCATAGTAAAGTCAACAGCCGCTCACCTTGATACTTAAGTATTCGCCAGCAAAACAGAAGATAAACGCTTCTAAATTAATGACGACGTAAAATAAAAGAGATCTCACTAACATAGAAGAGCCTTCATTGGCGCCGATTGACTGTAATATTGAAAATATGTGCACGATCGGATCTTTTCTACCGCGAAATAATAGTAATTACTAATAATAGTAATTACTTTTAAGAAATAATAATTGCGTTATAAAAATATTAAAATTATAATTTATTATCACACATATTATCACAATATATATATATATATATAATATATATACATATATGCAATATATATATACATACATGTATGTAAATAAAAATAATAACATTTTATATAAACAATAACAATTGATTTTCGTAAATATTCGATGTATATGTGTTATTAATATAAATCAGAAATGTGTGATTATTAATCTGTGCTGTGAAAGAGCCCTTAAAATTACTTACGTTTACGATGATAAAGCCCAAACAGCATATAACGAGAGTATTTGATATGAATTGGGCTAGCGCAATATATGAGTATAGATTCTCAATCTTTTCGGTGAAAACGATGATGTTCTGATGTTTTCGAATTAAGGAGCCTATGGTAATCATAGAAACAAATGGTTTCTTTTCCTTTGGTAAAATGTCCAATAATTTTTCTCGTAAAATATCTATTTGACCACCTACATGAAGCACCTAGAGATTTGATTCTATTATCCGTTCACTCTATAAATTTTAATATTACCTAATAAAGTATTAAAAAAATATAGGGGCTGGTTGTCACAAATTTTAAATAATGATTTTTAGGAAAAAGTGACTAAATTTTTAAAACACTATATATATTATAATACACCTACATCCCTTAGGTATTAAAAAAAATATTAAAATACATCATCGTACAAATAAACTTTATTTAAAATTAAATAAACATTTAATTTTAAATAAAGTTTATTTGTACGATGATGTATTTTAATATTTTTTTTAAATAAACATTTAATTTTAAATAAAGCTACAGAAATGTGACAATTATAGTTTCGTATTCGGAGTTGATTGTCACACGTGTCAGAATTGGCAAGTTACATATTTTATATAGATAAAACATACAAAAAATACAATTTTTATTTTAATGTCAGTTCTATCAAGAAATAATAGTAATTATAGTATTAATATAAGTAAAATAATTATTTCACTTATAAAATACGTAACTTATTGTACATGTATTAATTTAATTAAAAAACGAAATAGGAGAGAAATTTATTCTTCAACTTCATTTTCTTAAAAATCGTTGTGAGTAATATAAGAATATTTTTGACATAAATCATTATGCAACAATTTAATATTATATTAATAATTTAAAGTAAAAAGAAGAGAATGCTCTTCATATACTAATTGAGTTATTAGCTTTTTGACAATCAATCTTGTATGATAATCTTCCCTCATCTCTGCTAAGGCTATATAATATTATATATTAGATAACAGATATTTTAATACTTTTATTGAAACAGAGATTTATTAACAATTTTTATAATTTATTGGTATATCCAAAATTTTTCAGATAAAAAGAAATATTTTCATAGAAATGTATCTAATAAATATTAAATATTAGGTATGTAAATATTTTAATGAGACGGTAACCTAACAATCAATATTTTTAACATTAATTAAGAAAAGACAAATAAAATATCTAGCATCAAAAATTCGTTTAATAATTTCATCAAATCAATACTCGCTTAGAAATTAATTTTTCACAAATAAGTTTTTTCGAATTTTTCTTAAATAAATTGAAATGTACTACGAACAGTTATCGCAGTAACGCGAGCTATCTCTCGGGATGCACTCCCGGGGGTAATCTCAGTCGGGAACTTGAAAATCCCCCGGGGGTTGAAAGCCTCCAAGGCTCCAACTTACCAGCGTAACGAGCAGTGCGCTGAGCACACCGATCACGGTGGCGGCCGTCATTTGATGCAGGAATTGCGTGGTCATGACGACCTCGTATATTGGCGACGTGCCACTCTCGAAGGGTAACTCCATTTTGAGAAAAAGTTCACGATCAGCAGCGTCGACGACGTCGTCGCTGCGCAGGGCGACGACGCCAATGCCATAGAACAGCACGGCCGTTGAGTGCAAGCCGATGATCAAATTGGAGAAACGATGCGAGAGATTGGCCACGTTATTCATGCTGTACAAGGCATCCCCGCATTCCTTCCAGTCCGTCGCGATGCTCGCTAACACTTCGTTGAATATTCTAGGAAGAATCGGTTTCGTGCAGCACCGCGAGAGCGAAGATGTTCCCCCCTCGAAGACTATGATTAGGACACTATTTGTCTCTATGCGATGATGAATGATGAAGAGGGTAGGTCGAAAGATGCGAAGGTGGATATCGGTATCATTGTTGCTAATAACGATATTCCCCAATATAATAACGATTACAATAAGAAAGATAGTGAAGGAGGTATTAAAAATGTATTATTTGTAAATTGTTGAAATGATGTATTACGAGAAAAAAAAATATGTCATTTACCGGAATAATGATTTCTAAGTGTGCTCGCAAAGCTTTCTCATTATAAAAAACAATCACTAATTCTATAACCTTTTGAAACGATTTAATGATAATTACGGATGCATGCGAGCTTCGTATTATCAAACATTTGTTCGATTTGCGCGATCGTGAAGTGCAAGTCATGAACTGCAAGTAGCGACGATGCGGACATACCGTTGTTTTGTCCAGAAAACAATCAACTTGACACATAACAAACTGTATGACAGCGTCGCGCTTAGGCCATCCATCAGCTGTGAGATATCCTCGGAATTAAGGTGCATCGCCATGTGGCGATACTGAAAGATCTGTGCGACTATCATCGTCGTGGTCCAGAAAAGTCGACTGATGATCGCGTAGGTCGCGCCTGGCCAAATGCCGACGACTCGAAGTCCGATCTCGATCGATCGGGTAATCGTATTAGCAGACATCATTTGACAAGACTTAATTCTCGATCAATCGCGAACACTTTATGACATAATCGATAAGTCGAGGCTAAAATAAGAGTAGACCATACACGTTCTTCTTTAGAAAATCTCTTCCTTTAAAGGAAGCGCGAGAGATACTTATTGTAAACTTTTTCAAAGTGAGATATCAGAGATTTTGTTATCGGTTTACGGAAAATAATTATATATAAGTATAATTAATTATCAAGAACGGAGAAAGAATGTTTGGTACCGGCGCGTTATCAATCGACGAGGATTAATGAAATGAATCCACAAAGCTCACAGTTAACCAAAACGCGGAAGGTACGTCAGCGCGATTGTAAAACAAATTTATGAACGATAGAAGCACGAGACATGTCCCTGTAGACGCTGCGGATGAACTGAAGGATGCCGGAGGGTTACTTGCTACGAAACCTACCTTCGTCCACCGTCGACCGGGTAGGGGACAGCTCATTAAATATTTTCATCGCTCTGTGTATGATAAAATTGTCGTAGCGCGTGTCATCGGCGATCGCCGATTTTACGGATGGAAGGGAAACCGAGGGACCGTCCTTCCGCCCTATGCGCCGAACGATACGATGCCGTGCAATTTTCGTTAAAAATGTACGATCACGCAGGAGGTCGATGTACACAGGTCCGGTTTATAATTTTATAGTACGTCGAAAAATCATGCGCATTGATCTAAAGAGAGACAAAGAAGTTTCCGAAGGGTCGCATCGGGAAGGAAGGGAAGTTCGCGGGATTCGTGGAAATCGAGAATTTTAAATAGATTTGGAGTATGTATTTGAAGAACTATATATTGTGTTATACGCTCATCTAACTAGTGAGTTTATATATTATTGAATATATGATCTGTTTTCGACAGACTTGGCTATCTGAGTATTTTAATATTTGTTCAGTTGAAAGGTAAAGAGATAGAATGTGACGATCATCTCATCTCCAATAATATAGATAAATACGATCCCATAGCATTTACGACCTACAACAACGTGTCAGAATTTAATATATTTGTTACTATATACTGAAGCTATAGCTTTATAAGAATATAATACTTAATAAATATAATAGTCTGCAACATCTAAATATGATAAGAGGAGCTATGTAAATATAAACCTCTGGAAGATATATAATTACGGTAAATGTGTTATGTACAAAATCAGGGGTGGATAGTATTTGAAGTATATGTATTTAAAATACGTATTTAAATACATTTTTGTATCTTGTATTTCGTATTTAAATACTTTTTTGAAAGTATTTTGTATTTTGCATTTAAATTATGTAAAAATTTTTCTGATGAAAGTTAAAATCGTACCATTGTTGACTCAACCTGTTTATATTTGGTAAATAACAAAGATAAATGATACATCATGCACATCATGAGTGAACCAGAACGCACCTCTAGCGTTGTGTCTCAGCATTATTTTCTTATTAAGGCTCAGATTCACAACTTACGGTTAACTCTTAACCGAGGTTCAACTTATTCATTATCTCTTTTCGATTCGAGAATTGAAAAGTTGTGTTTTTCAAGAATCTTATTATAATTTTCTTTTGAATTATTCGATGAACAGTCTTTCACTATTGAAATTCTTTCACTATGAAAGGCTGTTTATAGAACAATTAAAGAGAGTTGTCGGTAATCTAATGGCTTAGAACGCTTGTACGGAATACAAGAGATTTCAACTCCTGGCCAAGGTAATATTTTTTGCAATAAGTTTAATTCCAGTTTTTTCAACATATTAACATCTTTGAAATATGATGCCTGATTGAGCATCGAAATTATTAGAATTTAATTTAATTCGCGAAATTACTACAGTGGTTTAATTATGTTTAGTCCGGAAATATTTCGGTACACAGTTCGTTAAGCTACAATTGTGTGTATGTCAAGTACATATATATCATATTTAGTGATTCAAGATTGAATCATTTAAGCATTTTAAGATCTAGCTTCGACCAGGGCTCTAATTTATCGGTGTATCTCTCACATATACGGTCTAAAAAATGATATTATTAATTAAAGAGAAGATTACAGTAAGAATTATTTATCCATAGTGTTTATTGTCGTGCTCAATATTTTCCGAAAATCAATTGATCTTCTGATGTTTTCGAATAATTTTGTTCATAATGATAGTAAATTTTTATTTGTCAATGCTAGTTTCGGGTATCTTTGCAAACCAGTAACGCAGGATACTTATTTGACCACTCACGTATAGAGTCTAAAAATAAAGAACTCACTACCTATTTGAAAATGAAAATTCATGTTTTTAAATTGTAGTAAGTTGCAAAAGTACTTTTGTTAGTAAAAAATTTGACTAATTGTACAGAACTGACACTAACGTAAATACTTTTAAAGTAAATTAATTTTTCTTAAACATAAATTTTATTTATTTTTATTATAAATAATTGTGCATTTGTATTAATTACTTGTATACTTGTAACTCACCAAAGATAACAGTAAACTATTTATCAAACCAAAAGCACAGAAAGGACCCAGGACATACTATATATCACTTCTATGATTAACACAATTTTGTACATAAACTGTGTACTTATATGAAAAGGAACTTTCATTTTATGAATGTGAAGCAGTTCGGTCGTTTGATCGGTGACTTCAACATCGGTCAACATGACACTCATGCCATAAGAAAAACCGACCATTGTGTGAATAGTCACGACCGTGTTGATAATCCGATCCGATGTTTTCGCCTTGCCTGATGTCTCGTGCACAACTCAACATTATTGTCAGCGCAATCATTCCAATCTTCTATTATCATTGTCAACGTTTCGTTGAATATTCTATGTCATGTAAAATATAATAAATTATGCTATGAATTTAATGATTTCTTAATCTTTGGATCGTAAAGCAGTGTGACAAAATTTTAATTTCCCGTCTTTTCTTACTTTCCGAAATTGAACGACAATGCAAAAAGAGAAAAAGGAGCATTCGAAAAATACTACTAAAAATGAAATAACATTTACTCTTAATAAACATTAGAGATTTTAAGCAGACAGTATACGAATTGATAAAATAAATTGATCAAATAAAAAAATAACAAATGTGTAAGTACAGCTCTATCAAAATATATTTACATATTATTTCATTAATTGCATTGCATTTGTTACTTACCGCTCATTTAATCAAAAGAGAATGAATTTGACGATTAATTTCAAGTATGTTAAAAATAAAAAGCTACTGAAACAATCCATCAAATCAAATACATCGTTGGAATTATAAAGTTTTGAGAGATATTAATAGTGCCAGAATTGAATGATTGTTATCGTAATAAACCAAAATGATCTACACAATGTAACGCATGAAAAGCCTAGCCATATATCAAACAAGATGAGCATAAATTTTGTCGTGCGATTAATTGTACTCTTACGAGTCATAATTTCGTATTTATTCTTACCTGTCAACTGTATATGTAAATTATCGTAAATGTGGATGACTTAGGACAAGTGTAGGTGTCTTGGCACAGCATGTATTTTAAATTCAATCATGGAATCCATCCATGAGTCTCTAAAGGAAGTTCAAAACTAAACTTAACTTCCTTTAGAGACTCATGGATGGATTCCATGATTGAATTTAACAAAAATATATGCTGTCCCAAGTCATCTACGCTTGTCCCAAGTCACCCACATTCATGGTAGTGTATCAATATATATACATACACGGTATGGCAATAAAATTCGGTGAATATTCTTATATTCAATTTGTAAACGCATGCAGCAAGTTGCGGCATTGTACTTGTTATAGATTAGCGAATCTAAAAACACATTTCTGCATGTTGCACACCTGCCCTTAACGAATGCGCGGCTATGTTCAAGCGTAGACTAGTAACGAAGGAGCACACATTCGTTAATAAAAATGGAAAAAAAGAGCTAATATCAAGTTCTGTTTTAAATTGGGCAAAACGTATCGGAAACGCACTTAATGTTACAAGTTTATGGAAATGATGCAGTAACGTAAAAATGTGTGTACAGTTGGTTTGCCCAATTTAAAACAAAATTTGATATTAGCTCTTTGTTCCATTTTCATTAACGAACGTATGCTCCTTCGTTACTAGTCCACGCTTGAACATAGCCGTCCATTAAGGGCAGGCGTGCAACATGTTGAAATGTATTTCTAGATTCGTTAATCTATAATAAGTACGATGCCGCAACTGGCTGCATGCGTTTACAAATTGAATATAAGAATATTCACCGAATTTTATTGTCACACCGTGTATATAGTAGGCAAGAATACGTTCAAAAAGAAATAAAAAAATATAGTTTCATTAAATATATATTTTCTGTCTACAACTTGATGTTATATCAACAAATATCGAAGTGAAGACTGGGAGGTCGTAAGAGGTCATTACACAGGTGCACCCCTAAGCCAACAACCAATAGAAGTTACTCATTAAATATTTTTATCGTACCATGACCACCAATGTAATGCCGCTGCTCCTCCTCACTTTGATAAAAGAAAGCTATAGGCAGAATTAATTCTCTCCCCTCTCTCTCTCTCTCTCTCTCTCCCTCTTTCGTACACTGGTGATCACAAACTGTTTGCCTTAAACATGCAACGATACAAACGGACGTATAGGCGGGGCGACGTATGTGCGATGGCAAATCGAGCTTAGAAGGGATCCTTTGAAAAGTTTTTGAAATCTAGAGGGTGAAAAGACTTTGACGAAGAAACAGAAAACTGTATTGCGATGCTACGAGACGTGTATGTTTTTTTGTGTACGCAATATCTGAATGTGCATTGGTGTAGCGATATTTGCGAGAGATTAATTAAAAACCTATGGATATCGACTGATGAATATAAAAGTAAGTAGTTCATTATGGAATAAAACTGGGGCATGTTATGTATGTCACACGATATCGTATAAAACCATTTAACAGTGTCAATACTAAAAGATACCTATTTATTTGAGAAATATCGATCTGTTTCGAATTTGCTTTGCCTAACTTTAACTATGTGTATATTACATTTCAGAGTTTCAGATCGCAGTTTAAATTTCGTATCATGCTTTTTCTAAATTACTCCAAATATTTTTGGAAAATGATTTGCATTGCGTGTGTTTTTGAACTAACGTAATGTAATTTGCACATTATCTGTGTGTTTTATAAATACCAGCTGAGAAGATCGACGAGACGGACATAACGTTTATTGCATCGCCAACATCACTGATAAATATGATCCCGAAGCATTCATGACAGTGTCACTTTGTTTTACAAGTAAAAACTATCTTTATACATAATTATAAATTTGTAACAGATATCAAATGATCACAAACAAGCACATTTTAAACAATGTCGTAAAATTTGAAATTAATTAAATGCAAAAAATTTGAATAAGTTAGCCAGTTCTAAGAATAAGAAAAGTTAATACATATTTTATAAAAAAACTTTATATACATGTATATATAAAATATTTGTTATATGCAGGATGTTCGGCAACAGGTGGAAGAAAATTTAATAAGAAGTGACTGTAATAGACTTGTGATATTATAACTAAACTACTGAAATAATATATCACAAATCAAATAAGACGAAAATCAAGAATAATAAGATTATGATTTTACTAATAATATTATATATTAAAGGCCTAATGCCGGTCGAAGTTAGATCTTAATTGCTTTTAAATAATTCAAAAAATGTGAATTATATATATACTATATATGTACTTGCATATATATCATATTTGTAGTCATATTCACTACGCACCGAAATTTTTCCGGACTTTACAAACACAGCTAAACTACTGAAATAATATCATAAATTAAATTTTTTATGTTCAATAGACATCTATTGTAGAAATCTTAAACTAATAGAATCTGTAAATAAATTTTAATTATTTACGTAAAGATGTCTAAAGCACGTCTATATTTAAACATCTGTATTTAAAAGATAATTCACCACAATTTTGTTATTCTCAATGTCTGTCTTATTTTATCATTTAGAATTATTTCCCAAATATTCTCGCACTTGTTGTAAAACATTATACATCCGAATAATGTGCAAAATTAATTTATATTCTACGCATAATTCTTATACTTGTAAAATATTCTAAGGAGAGATCAGCCATTTTTCCAACAGTGAGCGTTAGTTGCTTTTGCGATCTTAATATTATAAATGATAAGATACGGCTATCCTCAGGTTTCAAGTTATATCATGCGGTTATTATATGCTGCGTTTCCAATCGCTTTACTCTAGTAAGATGGAAATAATGAGAAAGCTTTTCAGTACGTTTTATAAAAATTTTTTTAGTCTAATGATAATTTATTTTTCAAATATTTTAATTTAACGAAATTTAGCATCATTTGTAATCATCATTATAAAAGTCATTTTATCGCTAACCTTGTTGTTCAGATATTCTCCAGCAAAGCAATATACAAACGCTTCTAGATTTGTCCCAGCGAAAAATAGAATCGATCTTACTGCTCCATTGCATCGGGTGTACCAATTGCCTATACATGAAAAAAATCGTTATTTTGTTATGCAATTATAAAAATAGTTGCCTTTATTTACATACCTCTGTTATAAAATACGAGGAAATTAATTAAAGTAGTCGTGCGCTTCTTAGCAAGCGACAAGCAGTAATTATTAATACATAATATTTTAACCTCAATCTTTTACTCACGCTTACGATAACAAACGCCAATGAACAAATCAATATCGAGTTAACCATAAATAGCACGAATGCTATGTACGTGAACAGTTTTTCTACATTCTTTGAGAAATTAATAATTTTCTGATGTCTCCGAATGATTTCATCCGTTGTGATTGATTGGTGCTTCTTTCCACTTTCCTTAGTTCCGAAATTCATCAAACAGTAACACAGGATATTCATTTGACCGCCTACATGTAAAACCTGAAAATAAGAAATCCGTCGCTTATATTAAAATTATAATTCTCAATCTTCTTTAAGTATAACTCAGATAATCAAGCGTGTCCCAACAAAATCGTACAAATCTGCTTATGATACTGGCAACTTGCTGTATATTCGTCTTCAATGATTTCAAATATACCGACATTGTAGCAGACAACGATGTGTATATATGTATTGCTAGCGGTTTAATGGCAATTTAGTAGCATTACCTCGCGTTGTCAGTAATATGATTGCATTGCATGATTTTATAGATTATTATAACAACATGACGGCAACAGCATAAATTTTGATAATGAAAATTTTAAAGTTGTCGGTAAGTTGCTGGCAAGTTGCTACTTAAAATTGTCATGTCGTGAAGGCATCAACTTGCCAACAAATGCGGACACAGTTGCTGCAATTTTGGTAGTAACACATATTTATTTACACACAAAAGCTCTGCTCAGATTTCAATATCGTTAGATGATTTATTTCTTTTATAGTTGGTATCGTTACAACTATCGTTCGTGATAATTGCTTATGTTCCTTAACTTACCAATATTACAAGTATAGAATTTATAGCACCAGTACCTATGCTTGTCATGGTACAAATCACAATTTGCATTAATAAGATTATTTTGTAAGTTCTTTCTGTGTTCACGTCAAAAGGAAGTTCCATTTTGTGTACAACAACTCAGATGTGGGATCGGTGACATCAACGTCAGTCAAGATGATATTTATGCAGTATGTAAAAGCACTGAATATTTGAAGAAGTACTATCACGAAATTAATGCGATTCGACAATTTTGCCTTGCGTATCATTTCATGCATGTAGATTTCATTGTTGGCACAACTATCCCAGTCTTCCATCATCAATTCCAAAGTTTTGTTGAATTTTCTGTGGATGATTTAGTTCGTCGATTATCCTATCGATCACAAAAAAGATCATTTTCAAGTTCTTAAAAAATTATCATCTCCCAAATGTTACTGGACAGTTCTAATAATATGCTCCAATTTTCTCGAACCAGTTTCCACGCTTTTTACATTCTTTTTAATTAAATGGAAATGCAAAGCAATATTAAACACATGTAAATATACATGTAGTTACTAAACGCAATCATATCTTAAAATGTGATTTGATTAATTAATACAAAATGTGATTTAATTAATTAACACAAAATGTAATTGATTAAATCAATTAATTATAGATTTTCTTTCGTCATATTAATTGTTTAAAAATACGTCACACGTCACTTAACTGTCATTTGATTATAAACAATTTATATCATTATTTATATCATTATTTATATCATTATTTACGTCAATCATTATACTTACCGTTGGTTTAACCAAAGCACAATAACCTTGATCGTGAATTTCATATATGACATAAAGCTACTCAAACAATCCATCAAATTGGAAAGTTCATCGGAATTAAAATGTATAAAAAAATAACGACAATGGTAGAACTCCATAATTATTGTTATAATAATCCAAAATAGTTTGCCAAACGGAATGCGCGAATCTGGCCATATTCCGTACAAAGTGCAAATAACTTCTAGTGTGCGATCAATCGTTCTTTTATGGATCATAATATTCTGTTTACTTCTTTTTCTATACGAGGGCGAGCACAAAAATGTATAACAAATCCTTTAACGAAGTAAAAGAAAATACAATGAATTTGATCATGTACTTCTGCCAGACGTACGTTTCGATGGACTGACGTACATCACACAATTGCTGCATATGTAAAGACTGTGCGTTCCTAAGTGGTCATCACACGAATTTACCCTTGAACTGTCGACCAATGGAAATAGCTCATTAAATATTTTTACCGTATTCTATGTAAACTGCTCATATATTTGTTGTGGATTCTGACAATTTTAATAAAAAGGAGGAAACAGGTGGGGTCATTTCTCTCTTTCTCCGAGAACCGATAACGCAAATTGCTCTCTTTAAATAAGCAATGATGTGCGTGGACATAGGTACGGTATATTCGACTGCGAGTCATACTCAGTGAGCTTCGAAAATATTTTAAAGTTTGGAGGATGACAGAGAATAAGAAAATGAGAGAAAATTAAATTACTGCGTATTTATATATCTATCTTTGTGTGTATCTTCTACATTGCGAAATCGATTTGAAGAAAGATCCACGATTTTGTCTGTCCATAAAAAACCGAGATGCTATAGCACTTTTAAACAGAGAACTGTATAGTTTACCATAACTTCATGTATCATATTTCATTAATAAAATTATCTTTATCGTAAATTATCTTTATCTCATAGAATAATATTTAGCAAAACACGCAATATTACAATTTGTGTTAATATATAACTAGTGAAGATATTTACATGTCTCTCTCTCTGTACCCGCTTCACGACTATTGATTAAAGATTGTTGAGATGAACGTGATGTTTATTGCATCGCCAACAACACTGATAGGTAGGACCCCGAAGCATTCATAATCTATAACAATGTTGTTTATACATTAGGAATTGATATTTAAATAGAATATTGCTATTACGAATAAAATATTTTTATATCAAAATGCACTGATAAAAAAGAATTTTGTCTAGTAAATAGTGAATATATATTGTTCAATAGTGATAGAGTTAACTATCAAAATTTTCTATTCTGCTTAAATCTTACACTTGTAAAGGATTCTAAGGTGAGATCCATTATCTTGCCAGCTGTTAGCGTCAATTGTTTCTGTGATCTTAATATTATAAGTAACAAAATGCGACTATCTTTAGATTTCAAATTGTACCATGCACAATTGTACGTTGCAAATCCGATCTCTTTGCTCTATGAAAGTAAAAGTAACAAAGATGCTTTGTAATATTACTTTAATAATAAAATTTAATTCTATGTCTTCTTTTATAAAAAAAAATACATAAAATGATCTACGTTGTCATTAATAATTTTTTTTATTGTTATAGTAATTACTTTTCATCACTGACCTTACTATTTAAATATTCTCCGGCGTAACAAAATATGAATGCCTCCAGATTTGTTGACATGAAAAATAAAAGACATTTCATCATCTGCTCCACGACATCGTCAGTACCAAGAGCCTGAGAAAATAAAGAAGATATAATAGCATTATGCATTATTTAATGCCCGAATATAATCAAAATTTATTTTTACAGAATATACAAATTTCTTTCCACAGAGTAACTATTGTACTTACGGTTACGATAAGAAAACCCAGCGAGCACATTAATATTGTGTTTGATGCGAATAACAATAACGCAATGTACGTGTACAAGCTCTCAATATTTTCTGAAAATTGAATAATTTTTTGATGCTTCAGAATAATCTCGTTTGTCGTGATAACGACTGATTTTTGCTCATTTTCGATTTCTTTAGGAATAAATTCTGCCAACCAACGTTGCAGAACATCCATTTGTCCACCTACATGTATAATCTGAAAGAGAAGATTCAATTTTTAATTAAAATTTTTTTAGTACGTGTAAAAATAATCAAACATCAATAGTTTATGTAGAAGAATGAAACAAAATATCAGCAATTTTTATAAATATAATTTCCAAAAATATATTTAACAAAACATCTTATACAGATAACATATTTCACGGAATCGGTCTTTAATTTTGTAGAGTTATGTTTTTGACATTAAAAAGCAAAATATGAATATATAGATATATTATTCGACGAAAAGGACGACACAAAATTTCAAAATATTATAATTATATATTTTTAGTTATAACTACTTATGCAATTATAACTTACCATAGCTAAAAATATGATATTTATAACACCAGATGCCCAATTTGTAAGAATCATGTGGATAAATTCTATGATTAACACTACTCTATACATTTGCTGCGTATTAACGCTGAAGGGAAGCTTTACTTTGTTGATAAGTGGCAACTCGATTTTATCTGTAATATCGACATCAGCGATGATAGGTCCTATGCAATACGCAGTAATCGTCATCGTGTGAAGGATGAATATCATATTAGTGATACGATCCGATATTTTTGCCTTGTCTGTCATCACGCGCATGCCGACATCATTTTTAGCGCAATCACTCCAGTCGTCCGTGATTAACGTCAAAGTCTCCACGAATTTTCTGTGGACGATTGTTCCTCGATCATGCTGTCGAATTCAAATAAAAGTCCTATTCATCGCGTCACAGTGAACCGTATTTTTATTTCATCTCCGAAACAATATTGACCATCACTGTCTTTTTGCAGCGAAATTTTGTCTTACATATTTTTGTAATTTTCTTTTTTTTCCACAAAATTAAGTAATAATAAAAAATTAAATAAGCGCAAAAAGATAATTATAAAAAGGGATTTGTAATTTTTTAATGCAATATTAGGCTTTTGATCTTAATAATTGCATATACCTTAATTAATATTTATACATCAATAATGAAATTATAAATGACAATGACAAATTTTTTATTTAAATAACATTGCACATTCGCTTTACTTACTGTTGATTCACCCAAAACGCAATGAGTTTAGTGATTACTTTCGCGTGTGCTAAGAAGCTGCATAAGCAATCTACCAAGTTAAAAAAATTCTGCACATTTAAATGCGTCGAAAAATAGAGACAATGACACAGTCCAATAAATCCTATTGTAATAATCCAAAATAATCTGCTGATTAAAATAATTATTCTGCCTGAACCGATGCCACACCAAGGAAGCATAAGAAACACTACGCGGTTAATTGTGCTCTTGCGAGTCATAACCCTTTATTTATTTTTGCACTCGGTTTGTTCAGGCAAACGCATTAGAAAATATTTAATAGAGTAAGAATTGTTAATGGAGAATTTTTGAGAAAATTAAAGAATTTAGAGATATATCTCCCAATAACAGCACAATGTATATCATTGGACACTCTGCGTAAAGACTGATGAGCTGTGGGTGCACCTCTGGCAAATCAACCAATGAAAGTTGCTCATGAAATATTTTTATTGTGCGTGCAAGTCTCAAATACATCCGTCATGTTTCCTTGAAACTTTGTGAAAAAAAAATGAGAATAAATAAGATATTCTTCACCCGCCTCGGGTACTGACAATGCAGCTATGAAGTGCGTATGTTAAATATGTAATGATACATGTGGAGAGGTACACGTATCGTCCGTCCTACAAGAGAATGTCGACAATTTTTGTCCATCGCAGTATTACAGCTTTTCCTAGAAATCATCTACTGGCTAGTAAATGGACGATAATGTTTCATAAGAAACAACTGGTGGCAGTGCCGATGCGTTGGCGATGTAACTATTGATTTTATTGTCTTAGTATTGTATCACATTAATTCGCGATGTTAACGTCACGCGGCAAAAATGCCGATTCTTGAAACATAATTACTCTGGTTTTATATATAAAGTTGCATATAATTCTAATTATTTTTCTCTATTATGTGAAAAATTTTTATCTAATACAGATAAATCTCTCTATTAAGAACTTTCTATTAAAATAATATTGATATGTGCATATCGTTATATATATTTATCGTGCAAAAGGAGATTCTTTCGCAGAGATAATAAAATATTTTAACATTTTATCCTTAAATTGTGCAAGGAATAAATCCATGATTTTTGTAATTAATATAAAATCTGACTACGTTATACGATGTATTGTAATTTAAGAAAAGACGCGAATTAGATTATTGTACTAAATTTATATTTGGAGAAATATAAATATACTATATTACAAAATGTGAATTCCTAGAATTACTAACATATAAATAATTCCCCAGGTAATAAGCTAATGTTATTTATCATTATTTTGACATTTAAAATGGCACCTTTAATATCTTGTTACCTGAGTCATAACACTTTTTTGTTAAAAAAAATTGACGTTCTAGTTTATTGCATTGCCAATAATACCGATAGATATGATCCCGAAGCATTCATAATCTAGAAGAATATTGTATTAGAGAATTCAATATTTTGTTTTTAATATTACTAAAAAATACTTTTTGTCGTGAAGACGACATTTTTATGTATAAATATAAATCTTACACTTGTAAAAGATTGTAAGGATAGTTCCATCATTTTTCCAGCTGTAAGCGTCAGTGGCTTTTGTGATCTTAGTATAACAAATAACAGGACACGACTATCTTTAGATTTCATATTGTACCATGCACAGCTGTATGCCGCAAAACCGATTTCTCTACTCTATAAAGATTGAAATAATAGAAAAATTTTTAATGCTTTAGTATTCTCTTTGTAACAGCTTTTTTAATTAAATACAATATATTGTTATTTATTAACATTCTACGGTAAATATTAATATTTTTAAAATAAATTTTATTGCTAACCTTGTTTTGCAAATATTCTCCAGCATAGCAAAACATATATGCTTCGAGGTTCGTTATAAAGTAAAACAAAAAAGATTTCACTAATTGCTCTGACGCGTTGGAGCTACCGATTGCCTGTGATATTGTGCAACAATGGTGTGAGAAAAATTATCAAATATAACACTAGTTAGTATTAAATATAACACTAATATAATACTAGTAATATACAAATGTATTATTATTAAATATAATAATATATTTAATTATTACATTTCATTACAACATATATTTTATTAAGTAAATGTAATTAATAAAAAAAAATTAAATATATAAAACAAATTTAAATATTAATAAATAAGTTAATATTTAATATTATATTATTTGCAATTATATTAAGAGAAACACTATAAGTTTATATTTAATAATCTTACTTACCGTTACGACAAGGAACGCTAGCAAACAAATCATTATCGAGTTTGACACAAATAGCACCAGCGCAATATACGTAAAAAGACTTTCGATATATTCTGATAAACGTATAATCTTTTTATGCTTATAAATAATTTTAGTCGTTGCGATGGCGACTGATTCATCTTTACTTTCATCCTCGGAGGATACAAGTTGCGTTAACCAGTAACGCACAATATCGATTTGGCCAGCTGTATGAAAGGTCTGAAAATAAAGATCCCATTGCCTATGGAATTAATCAGAATCCGTGACTACAAGTTGTACAAACTGCAAAAATGGATATTGTACAGAATAATATTATCAAGATCCACGGAAATAGTAAATAATTTAAATAGCATAGTTTATTCCAATTTTTGTATCTGCCATGTGCATCGAGCTTTTAAATGATATACAATGTAGTTACAAATTAAAAAATTTAAAAATTGTTTAAATTATTTTCGCGATCTTGAATATCATTTACACATCCACAACTTACTAGAATTATTAACAAAGAATTCATTGCACCAGACGACCAGGACCACATCATCAAGAAAAAGAATTCTATTATTAAAATACATCTATATGTGCGTTGCGTATTTATGTCAAAAGGAACTTCTATTTTAGTGAAAAAACGTAATTCCGAGGTCGTGTTATCGGTGACGTCGACATTGGCCAGGATGACACCGATGCCATGGCCAGAAACTGTCATTGTATGAAGAATGAGTATTAAGTTTGTAATACGTTCCGATGTTTTCGCTTTGCTTGCTGTCTCATGCAAGCTGATATCGTTATTAGCGCAATCACTCCAATCCTCTTGCATTATTGTCAAGACTTCGATGAATTTTCTATGAATGGTGGTGTTCGCCGATCATATTGTCGATCTTAAAGCAATCTTAATTTTCGTGCTGTGACCATGTTTTAGATATTTATTATTCCTGAATGTAATATATGTAAACCAACCCTTCACGTATTCCAATCAGCAAAATTTAATGGAATACTTTTATAAATCTTTTTTTCAATTTTGCATATATATGTTACTTACCGCTGATTTAACCAAAACACAAAGCATTTAAAAAGCATTTTGGAATGTGCCATAACGACAGGCAGGATGTCCATGAATTCCCAAAGTGTGGCCGAATGCATACGTATCATAAAATAACGGTAGTGACAGTACTGAATAATTATCACTGAAACGATGAATAACGTTCTCAAAAATAGAACACATGATGCGCCTGGCCAAACACCGCTCAAAGTGAGTATAAATTTTGCCGTCCGATTAAGCGGATTCTGACGATCCATAATTTTCTGTATGAAAAAAAAAACGATTTTGCTAAAATATTTAAAAATTTAGCTAGATATACAAATCTGAAAATAATTTTGTTAGATCATCAAAATAATTATGTAAGAAACTCAAGTATAATGAGCAATACTGCAAAAAACTTCGATATTCTGACAACAAGCTTGAACATCCTATATAATTATTTTAACAGTTCGATAAAATTATTTACAGATGGGTATCGAACTAAATTTTTACATACTTCAATACCGTTTTTTTCGTATATTCTTTTTATTCTTGCCCGCATGAATAAGTTCGTCAAAATATGTGACAGATAACAGAATGAAAATCTTCGGTAAGACAAAAGAAATATGCTTCAACCAAATGTGTATTTATCTTTGATGGACTGTTCGGTGAAATATAGTTTATATTTTGATGGAAACTATACATCACAGAATATCTGCCCGAGACTGAAAGGTAGAAAGAAAAATCTAAAACATTAAACAGGTATATCCCTCAGCGCAACTGATCAATAAAATTGTATTCATTAAATATTTTTATCATACTATCAGCACAGATCGCAAATATATTTGTCGTATTTTTTTCTCAAATTTGTTGCAAGGTAAAAGAAAAAAACAAAGAGTCACTTTTCCCTCACTGCCGATAATATAACTGCGAATTGTCTACTTTAAATATGCATTGATTCGTGCGGAGGTAGATAAATTAACTATGTATAATCTATAGTCAGTCAGTCTCCGGACTTTCAGGAAAATTTCGAAATATAGAGATTATATAAAAATTGGAAGGAAAGAGAACTCCTACGTGAACAAAATGTTATTTGTATAATAATTGAAAGTTTTTATAATAATTTATGTGTTATTAGCAATATTCATGTTTTAGCAATATGATAATAATATTATAAGTATTACACGGATTTCTGAAATCACGGATGTGACAATATATGTGAAAAATTTATCACAACCTAAATAAATCAAAACTATTCGTAATTGTGCAAAAAGATAGAATATACGTAATTATATAATATCTAGCATATATAACAAATTACCTATACAAAAATGACAATTTATAGTTAATCAAATAAACAAAATATATCTTATTAATTATTTAAAATTTATTATAAATTATGTACAAGTATAAAAAATATGTTGTTTTAATGTCGAGATAAAGTGTTTTTAGATAAATCTTACAAGTGTATAAAAACGTGTTGTTATTTTAGTGTATGTAATATTCGTTATTGTTTTTCGTGAATTTCGTTGCGTGAGAGGGGAAGAAAAGAAGGGTGATTTCTCCCTCTCTTGAGCACTAATAGTATACCGCGAATTGTCTGTTTTAAATATGTAATGATTCATGCGTAATATATATAGGCAGATATGACAATAATACCTGATGGTCAATGATAGCCAATGACCTCTCAGGAAAGTTCTAAAATCTATAGGGGAGAAAGAATCGATAGGAATAAAAATTATAAAGTGCAACGCTACGTGAAATTTACATTATTTTACTTGTTAAAATTTAAGCAAATAATAAATTTTATTCTTTACATATAGTAAACAGTGTTTACGATATTTCTTAACTGTACATGTACCGATAACTTAAACAAAAAAATAAGAAACTTTACGATTATTTTGTATTATATTTGAAAAAATATGTTTTATTACAATATGCGTTTTTGTAACTAGTGAATTAGGAATAATTTATATTTTCTATAATTACTTAAAAGTTGTCGACCTGTTTATTGCATCGCCAATAGCATTGATAAATATGAACCCGAAGCATTCATGATCTAAAATAAAGTTATCAGTTACCACTTTTGTTTTGGAAATTGATATTTTTAATTAAAATAAATATTCTAATATTATATAATTCTATATATAATAAGTAAGTTCATTATGATTCTTTTGTCATGTATCTTTCTTTTCGAGTTTAAAGATAAAAAGTTTACGTATAAATCTTACGCTTGTAAAAGCTTGCAAAGAGAGATCCATCATCTTTCCTACCGTGAGTGTCAATTGTTTCTGCGATCTCAATATAATAAATAACAAGATTCGACTTTCTGTAGATTTTAAATCGTACCATTCACAGTTGTACGCCGCGACTCCAATTTCTTTACTCTATGAAAATGGAAATGATAAAATTTTTAATATTTATAATATTCTTTGCAATATTTTGCGAGATGAAGAAAATAGTTATATACTTTTATCATTGTTATAAATATTATTTTGTCACTAACCTTGTTATTCAAATATTCTCCGGCATAACAAAATATAAATGCTTCGAGATTTGTTATAGTATAGAATAGAATTGATTTCATTATTTGTTCTACCGCGTTGGGGCTACCGATTGCCTGAAAAATTGCAAAAATAATATACAAAAAGTTATTAAAAATATAAGTCTACAATATAATATAAAATATAAATTAAACATAACAAAGAAAATTTAAACGTATAATATACAATATAAATAATGCTATGCAATATAAAAAATAAATTATTATTAAACAGTGTTATATTATTGTCAACTACAATTGGAAGAATTGCAATATTATTATTTATATTTAATAGTATTACTCACTGTTACGATAACGAAACCTATAGAACATATCATTATTGTGTTTGACACAAACTGAAGCAACGCAATATACGAATAAAGTATTTCAATGTTTCTTGAAAAATTGATGATTTTTTGATGTTTTTGAATAATTTTACTCGTAGTCGCAGCTATTGATTTATGTTTGTCTTCGTTCCTACGAGGCACAAGTTGCATCAGCCAATGACGCATAATCTCGATTTGGCCAGCCGTATGTAAGATCTGAAAATAAAAAATAAGAATCTAAAAATAAAAATATCTTAGGTTCTCAAAATAAAAAAAATGTATACAGAATGTTTTAGGACGTCTAGCATAAAATTTAGAGAATCTTATATAAAAAAAAGGATCAACTTTTGTTCAGGAAAATCAACTTGTTCTCCAACATAGTTTTAAGGAGCCGCGCGTTCAGTTACACGTGATGTCTGACAGTTCATGTTCTTTGATTATATTTCTGCAAAAAAAAAGAACACCAAAGGAAGCAAAAATGTAGGCTAGTATTGCCAGACATGTGCAATGCTGTTAGCGATCGATTGCGTGTCTTACAACCCGCCGAACAAGGACATGTAATTCTTTAAAAATGTGTCGGAGAATACAAATTTTTTAACGAGAGTTAATTTTTTGCGTAAGATCTATCATTGCTTATTTTTTCCTTTCAAACGAATTAAGTAAATGCACAATGATTAAATAATATCGTCAAAACAAACACAAATAAAATTTTTTATAAGTCATTTCAATTTTTACATCTTTTACGTCGGCATTTTAAACACGTATTATCATTTTAATTAGATACAGTTTACATGGATAAAGAATTTTTAACTTACGAGTGTTAATAATAAAGAGTTTGTTATACCAGCCGCCCATCCGCAAAGAATCATAAGTAAAAATTCCGTGATTAAAACGGTTCTGTACGTAATTTGCGTGTTTATGTCGAAAGGAATTTCCACCTTATTGACTAAAGGTAGTTCTTTCGCAGTGTCAGTGACATCAACATCAGCCAAGACGATACCAATGCAATATGCAACAACTGTCGTTGTATGAAGGGTGATGATTGCGTTTGTAATGCGATCCGATATTTTCGCCTTGCGTGTTATCTCACGTATGCTAATGTCACTATTAGCGCAATCATTCCAATCTTCTGCCATCACTGTCAAAATTTCAACGAATTTTCTGTGGATAATTGCTTTTATTAATCGTACTACCGCAAGATAATCCTAATTGTCGTCATGTAAATATCAATAGATATTTAAAGATTTGTTATTTTTATTCATCAACAATTTTTGTTTATAAATTATTAATATAATAAGTATAATTATATATTGATATTATAAAGAAAAAATATTACAACTATATTTTTTAATTAGAGCGCTTTATTTTCTGGCTGATATTTTCTTATCTGAAGCTGGTCGAATTACCACGAAATGCACATACAATGTTTTAAAAAGAATGTTTGGTGAGTACATAATAATATTACTTGCAATTCTATATACTTTTAAAGAGAAAGCTATTGTATAAATAAATTTTCTATAAAATTGTGATTTTGAAATAACAATATCTTTCGCTAAAGCTTTGAATTATTATAATGACATCGATCGTAATATTTTTGCCAAATATTTTCGACATTGTATACAAATTAAATAATATTACTTACCGCTCATTTAACCAAAACACAAGAAATTTAATAATTATTTTGGAATATGCTAGGAAACTGGATAGGCAGTCCATTAAATCTAATATTTCAGCAGAATGTACATGTGTCAGAAAATAACGGTAGTGACAGAATAGAGTAATTGTCAATGAAATAATCCAAAATATTCTACAAAGTACAACATACGATGCGCCCGGCCAAATACCACACAAAATGAGCATAAATTTCAACGTGCGGTTAAGCGTACTTTTACGAGTCATAATTTCTTATTTCTCTTTATTTTCCGTTGTGCTCAGAGAATTCATAAAGGTGCGTACAATAGAACAAAAAACTTCAGGTAGATAAAAGAAATATATTCTGATCAAACGCATGCGTTTCTACGTATTATAGAATACTTGCTCATAAAAAAAACTGGAAGCTTCTAAGAAATATCAATAGATTCAACCATCAGCAATTGATCGCAATTGGAGTTGCTCATTAAATATTTTCATCGTGTCGAGCGCATAGACCGTAAATACATTTCGTTGTAGTTTTTCATTTGTTTAACGTATGAAACGGAAAGATAGATGAGGTTTTTTTCCCCTCTATCTTATGCGTTTGTATTACAATCGTAAATTATTCACCTTAAATATGTAACGATACGTGCGGACGTAGATACGGCGATGTATATATCCAATGATTAATCGTGACTACGGTGCTTTAGGAAAGTTCTAATCTCTAGAGGATGAACAACCGGGCAACTATGAGCAATACTGCAAAATGTTACATTAATTTGCATATAACAGCTAAAAGTGATTTTGTGTTATAGAAATCGAGATACGGATAAAATATAATTAGCATTAACAAATGCATGTATTTGTATCTGAAAATGTATGTGAAATAATATACTACATAGGTATACATCAATCAGAATTTACGTAGATGAATATTCAAACAGATCAAATGTTATACCGCGCGTGATCGTTAACAATGTTGTATTAAAATTTGCTACATTATATTTTTTATAAATAATTTTAGCGTCCTTCCTTTAGCATTCTTTTATAACAAGAAGTGTAGGTATATCTAAATATTTAACTATATTATTTAATATTTTCTCTAAAAGTGTGTGTAAAACTGGACATGGATGACACAAAAGTCGCATCAGATTGTTATATTTTTCAATATTTTGATTTTGATTGTTGACTAAAAATATTATCGATACGACATAATATATTATGACTATCTTACAATTCTTAGGAAATAAAAGTCTAAGGTACTCTAATAACATTTAAAAAATGACTTATTTTATAATTTTTTATATTTTTATATTTACTACGATTTTAGAATATGTAAATTATACTATCATTTAGGCTACCAAAAAAAATATGTTGTACCATACGCATCACTAGTAAAGATATATTTACATGATATATACTTCATGACTATTATATAAACATCTTCAAATATGCGATGTGCTTATTGCATAGCCAGCAGTACTGACAAATATGATCCTGATGCTTTCATGATCTATAATAAAGTATGACCTTTTTGTATTACAAATTAATATTTTAGAAGATTATGATTTTGTCACCAAAAAACGTTTTAAATATTGTTACAAAAAATTTACAAAACTTAATGGATTGGGAGAAAAAAATTTACGTAGACAAAAAAGTAAATTTTATATAGAAAGTATCTTAATACAAATATTATGTATACAATTATTGTCCAAAATTATTTTGTGTGCTACGTATAAGTCTTACACTTGTGAAAGATTCTAAGGAGAGATCCATTACTTTTCCAACTGTAAGTGTCAATTGCTTTTGCGCTCTTAATATCACGAATATTAAATTACGGCTGTTTTTAGGTTTCATTTCATACCAGGCGGAACTGTACACCGCATTTCCGATAGCTGTACTCTGAAGAAAGTTGAAAATCGTTAAAAGAGATTACACTAAAATGCATTATAATTTCTTTCTTCAACAATCTCAAAATAATCGTTATTGATTATTTTCATAATTATTTCCTCATGTCTAACCTTGTTTTTCATATATTCTCCTGCGTAACAAAATATAAATGCTTCAAGGTTCGTCACGGTATAAAATAAAAGAGATCGCACTATGTGCTCCGTTGCATCAGGACTGCCAATTGCCTGCAATATTAAAGTAGCAATTATTAAATGCGTTCCAAAATTATAGACATCTACTCTAATGAGTTGCAAAAAATTTATTTTGCCAAATTTACGTATAATTTTACAAAATTTTACAAAATTTTACAAAAATTTACGTATAATTTTACAAAATATGGTATTCGTTATTATGTGAAATACTTAATGTCTTCACTCGCCGTTACGATAAGAAATCCCAAAGAGCAAATCAGCAAAGTGTTCGATGTAAATTGTATTAAAGCGATGTATGTATATAAATCCTCAATATATTCCGAAAAATTTATTATTCTTTGATGCTTGCGAATAATTCTATTAGTCGTAACGGCGACAGACTCGGTTCCTTCATTTCCTCGTGGTACGAGTTCACTTAACCAGCAGCGCAAAATATCCATCTGACCACCTACATGTAAAGTCTAGAAATAATAAAAATAATACATAGTGTCAATCCAATTAATGCATTAAATAGCGAAAAAAGTTGTTTTAAGACAATATAGACTAGCAATTATCTTTATAATTACTATCAGTGTGTATTATATATGACAAGTATATTTTCCAACTTACCAAAGTTAAGAGCAAGGCGTTCAATAGACCCGTTCCACAGCCGCACATGATGAGATGCACGAATTGCATAGTTAGAAGCATTTTATACGTGCGTTTTATGTTTATGTTGACAGGAAGCTCCACCTTTAAGAGAAGAGGTAGTTCGGACTGCTTGGTGATGTCGACGTCAGCCATGAAAACGCCAATACTATACGCAACAATAGTTATCGCATGAAGAGTGAACATGGCATTAGTGATACGATTTGCTAATTTAGCTTTGCATGCTGTTTCACGCATATTGATGTTACTGCCAGCGCAATCGTTCCAGTCTTCTGCCATCATCGTCAAGATCTCATAGAATTTTCTACGAATTATTGATTTAATTATTCTGCCGACTATGGGAGAAATGTAAGACCCATAAGCTTGTGTACTTAGAGAAGTATATTGTATAAAGTATTATATATATATTACATATAATTATGAAAACGTATTTTCATTTATGCATTACTTTCTTTAAATGATATTTTAAGTTATCAATTTTTTTTACATGTTCGCAAAATAAAATGTATGCGAAAATTTTGTACACGTTTATTGTCCAAAGTTTAAAAAAACAAATATTTGTGTATAACGAATAATGATTATTAAATATATAATTATTAAATATCTTATTTATTTATTTACTTATCTATATTAATTGTAATAAACATAGAAATTAATGACATTAAATAATGGAATTATCTGTAGGTAATACATATGCAAATTATTTATTGTGCAGCGTTTGTACTTACCGTTCATTCAGCCAGAATATAATCAACTTAATTGTAAATTTTACTTGCGCTAGGAAACTACTGAAACAGTCCATCAAGTCAAAAAAATCATTAGAATGCAAATGCATTAAAAGATAACGGCAGTGACAAATTTCATCTATTACTAATGCGATAATCCAATACGCCCTGCAGATTATAACACACGTTGTGCCTGGCCATATACCGCACACAGTGAGCATTAATTTTAACGTACGATTAATTGTGCTTTTACGCGTCATAGTTCTTTATTTCTCTTAGCTTTCGTTTTTACGCGTAGAAAAACATCAGTTTATACATAGGACAAACGCTTTTTCAGGGAGGTAAAAGAACTGTGCTCTCTATTTTTTTTTCTTGTTCAATGTTCAATATTTCCCACTCAGTATTTCCCAATGAAAACTCGATGTATATTCTAGAATAACTTCATAAAGACTGGAAGGTCCTATGAGATCATCAAATGGGTGCTCTCTACCATGATCGGCCAATAAGAGTATCTCATTAAATATTTTTATCATACCACATACAGCCCTTACTCGCATACACTTACCGTAGCTTTTCACAACATCGATATAAGAAAAGAGAGAATACGTAGGGTCATTTTTCCTTCCCTTGGGTGCTGGTAATGTAATCGCATATTATCCAGTTTAAATATGCAATGATTCATGCAGACATGAACGGGACGGTGTACGCATCTGACGGTCAGTCGCACTTCAGTGTACACTCCGGAAAAGTTTTGAAATTCATGCACCAAAGCTGCAGCAGAAAAGCAGCAAAGAAACCCAAGTGCAGTGCTAATGTATAAGTATTTTTGAATGCACAAAGCAGTATTTGCAGCGTATCTGTGTGCGCTTAGAATTGTACAATATAACGTTTCAAATACGAAAGTATGATTGAAGAACTGAGGGGGGAGTTGTGTGTCCTAAATAGAAACCATGAAAGAACATATAATTTTAGTTAAGTGAATGAAAAATATGTCACATTTTCTGTGTTACAGTTTTCTATGTACAGTTAAAAATTATATTGCGTTGATCGAAAAGTATATATTTAAAAAATATTTACTATGTATATATTAATATATATTTATATGTACATATACTATATTACAAGTATGTTCTAATTTTTCTAATTAAAAAAGTCGATCTGTATTTGATCACTTGGTTTGTTACTTGTGTGGACCGAGCATAAAGGATACTACGGGGTTTATTTTATTGCCAGTAGTACCGATAAATACGATCCCGAAGCCTTCATAATCAATAACAATGTTAATACTATCAGTGATAAAGAAAAATGTGCATTATTATCAGACATATCATTGTTTTATTTCAAAAGTGACACAACTTAGAAATGTTATTTTAGCGTAATTATGAATGAGTTAAGTAAATGTTATGCTATTATTTATTAAAAGTGATCTAACTTTACTTCATTAAAAAATCAAAAAATCGTCATAGGATTTTTAAAAGTTCTGAAAATTACAACAGTAAAAAATTATAGAAAATTTAATTTAATACATAAAATTTGAACAGTTAAGAATATATACTCTTTTTGCTGACATAATTTAATTAGTTAATAATTTTCCGACAAGTTAAAAAATATTTCTTTTTTGGAAAACTTAACATAAAAAATGAGAAAACAATGGAAAACAGCATTTAAAAAATGACTTTTATAACTTTATACTTTATAATCTTTCGATTACTACAATTTTAGAATATTTAAATTACACTATTATTCAGTCCGAAAATATATGTTGTACTATATGCATTTCTACCACTATTGAAGCTATATTTATACCAATATATGCTCCACGACTATTATACAAAAATTTTCAAGCGACATGCTTATTGCATAGCTAGCAGTACTGACAAATATGATCCTGATGCTTTCATGATCTATAATAAAGTATGAACTTCTTGTTAGTTATAAAATATTAATTGGAAATTAGAAGATTATGATTTTGTCACCAAGAAAAATGTGTTTTAAATATAGCTATAAAAAATTCACAAACTTAATGTACTGGCAGAAAAAAATTTACGTTGACAAAAAGGAAATTTTATATAGAAAGTATCTTGATACAAATATTAGGGTCAACCGGGATAATTGTGACGACGCGGCGGGGTAAATGCGACAGTGCTTAATTTTATGTAATAAAATACAAAAAGACTTTACATTTTTTATTATTCCATGTTTAATGATGATTTGACTTTAAATTGACATAAGTTTTTCTAAGAACAAAAATTGTGTATTGTAATAATTATCAAATCCGTAAAGCGTTGTAAAATAGTTAGGTTATGAAAGTTCGCAGATATTTATTCAACGTTATTTCTTTTCCAGACGAAGCCATTTTAAATATGATATTCATTACTTTAAGATTACTATAATTCTAAATTAATGTTTTGTCAAGGTTAAAGTACAATTAATAATGTATATAACTTTTTAATTGAACACCACCATTACCCTACTGTAAATTCAATGTATGGAGTAATTGTGACGATAAGTTTCGGGGAAACCGTGATACTTCGGGCGCGATTGCGTTAAGTTACCAAATGCAACATATTGAAATACTGACGATTGCGCGTTTATTAATAATTTTACATAAGTACGATTCAAATATCATACTTTGGACAATTAGCACATATTTGTACAATAATAATATTCATGCATAATACGTATTTATTATCAAATGAATATTAATTTCATGTTAATGATTTTGGTAACAATTTTGAAGTTATAAATAAGAAAACGAACCTTAAATATATCTTCGTGTCGTTTTTCTTTATCGCTCAATGTTGTCTTATATAAAATCAATAATTTTATATAATGTATTATAAGGTTTGTTAACAAATATCTATGTAATTATTTTACAGATCATGCCGCGAAACTATATTCCGCAGGGAAAGAAAGTTTTATTTATGATAAAAAATATTCGTGTATTTTTGCTTAAATATATATTAAGAATGAAAACATATGTTAAATGTTAAAAAGACATGTTCATCTTTGTTGATCAAATATTATATATTTTAATACTAAAAATGAATATCGTTTGCATTTTGTAATTGTTATTAATGTTTTTTGATTCATTCTTAACAAATAATATTTTCCTGTTAATAATAGAAGCTTTACAATAATTATTCGTACAAAAATTAAGAAAATGACACATTGTTGAATTCCACAACTTTACGTTTTTTCGTCACAATTACCCCGGTTAACCCTATGTATACAAGTATTGTCCAAAATTATTTTGTGTCCTACGTATAAGACTTACACTTGTAAAAGATTGTAAGGAGAGATCCATTATTTTTCCAACTGTAAGTGTCAATTGCTTTTGCGCTCTTAATGTCACGAATATTAAATTACGACTGTTTTTCGGTTTCATTTCGTACCAGGCGGAGTTGTACGCCGCATTTCCGATAGCTTTACTCTGAAGAAAGTTGGAAGTCGTTAAAAAAGATTGCCCTTATATGTATTACAATGTCTCTTTCCAACAATCTCGAAATAATAATTATAGATTATTTTCATAATTATTTCCTCATATCTAACCTTGTCTTTTATATATTCTCCTGCATAACAAAATATAAATGCTTCAAGATTCGTCACGGTATAAAATAAAAGAGATCGCACTATGTGCTGCGTTGCATCGGGACTGCCAATTGCCTGCAATATTAATGTAGCAATTATTAAATGCGTTCCAAAATTACAAATAGACTTTTACATTACCCTAACGAGTTGCAAAAAATTTATTTTGCAACAAACATTTACGTTTAATTTTATAAAATATAATATTCATTATTATATGAGAAATATTTAATGTTCTCACTCGCCGTTACAATAAGAAATCCCAAAGAGCAAATCAGCACAGTGTTCGATGTAAATTGCACTAATGCGATGTATGTATATAAATCCTCAATATATTCCGAAAAATTAATTATTCTCTGATGCTTGCGAATAATTCTATTTGTCTTGACGGCGACAGACTCGGATACTTCATTTCTACGTAGTACGAGTCCATTTAACTTGCAACGCAGAATATCCATCTGACCACCTACATGTAAAGTCTAGAAAAAAAAATCATACGTGGTGTCTATCAATCAAATTAATACATTAAATAGCGGAAAAAATATTGTCTTATTACAATATTGATTAGCAATTACTTTATAATTGTTAATATGTATTATTTATGAAAAGTACATTCACACGCGTCGCAACTTACCAAAGTTAAAAGCAAGGCGTTCAATAGACCCGTTCCCCAGGCGCACATGATGAGATGCACGAATTGCATGGTCAGAAGCATTTTATACGTGAGCTTTGTGTTTATGTTAACAGGAAGCTCCATCTTTAAGAGAAGAGGTAATTCGGACTTCCCGGTGACGTCGACGTCAGCCAAAAGAATGCCAATACTATACGCAACAATAGTTAACGTATGAAGAGTGAACATGGCATTAGTGATACGATTTGCTAATTTAGCTTTGCATGCTGTTTCACGCATATTGATGTTACTACCAGCGCAATCGTTCCAGTCTTCTGCCATCATCGTCAAGATCTCAAAGAATTTTCTACGAATTATTGATTTGATTATTCTACCGGCTATGGGACAAATGCAAGATACAGAAGCTTGTGTATTTAGAGAAGTATATTGTATAAAGTATTATTACATATAATTATGTAAACGTATTTTTAATTATGTATCACTTTCTTTAAAAATGATATTTTAACTTGCCAATTTTTTTACATTTTGTCAAAATAAAATGTGTACAAAAATTTTTTCTCACTTTTAGTTAGATATTTAAAAAAACAAATATTTGTGTATAACAAATAATGATTATTAAATATTTTAATTATTTTTTTATCTAAATATGTATTAATTGTAATGAATATAGATAGTAATGATAGATAATAACAGAATTAACTTTAGGTAAAATACATGCAAATTATTTATTGTGTAGTATTTATACTTACCGTTCATTCACCCAAAATATAATCAATTTAAATGTCACTTTTATTTGCGTTAGGAAACTACTGAAACAGTCCATCAAGTCAAAAAAATTGTTGGAATGCAAATGCATTAAAAGATAACGGCAGAGACAAATATCATCTATTGCTAATGCGATAATCCAATACGCTCTGCAGATTATAACGCACTTTGTGCCTGGCCATATACCGCACAGAATGAGCGTTAATTTTAACGTACGATTAATTGTGCTTTTACGCGTCATGGTTTATTATTTTACTTTGCTTTCGTTTTTACGCGAGGAATAACATCAGTTTATACGTAGGACAAACACACTTTCAAAGGAACTGTGTTCTCTATTTCTTTCTTTTGTTCAATATTCAATATTTCCTACTCAGTATTTTCTAGCGAGAACTCGATTTGTCTTCTAGAATAACTTTATAAAGACTGGAACGTCCTACGAGAGATCATCAAATGGTTGCTCTCTAATATGATCGGCCAATGAGAGTATGTCATTAAATATTTTCATCATGCAGCCCTCGCTCGAATACACTTATCGTAGCTTTTCACAACATCGATATAAGAAGAGAGAGAATACGTAGGGTTATTTATACTTCCCTTGGGTGCTGGTAATGCAATCGCATATTATCCAGTTTAAATATGTAATGATTCATGCGGACATGTACGCGACGGTGTACCCATCGTACGGTCAGTCGCACTTCAGTGTACACTCTGGAAAAGTTTTGAAATTCGTGCACTAAAGCTACAGCAGAAAAACATCAAATAAACCCAAATGCAGTGCTAATATATAAGTATTTTCAAATGCACAAAGCATATCTGTGTGCGCTGGTGTTTTACAAGGAATCGTCAAGTGTATAGATTGCATATAAAACAATCGGTGTGATGATGGTACAACATAATGATTCATATACGAAAGTATGTTTGAAGGACTGAGGAGTTGTATGTCTTAAATAGAAACCATGTAAGAACACATAATTTTTTTCAAACTAACGAAAAAAAATATCACGATTTCAGTGTTACAGTTTTCTATATACAATTAATAATTATATTGCATTGGTCTAAAAATATATATTTAAAAGATATTTACTATGTGTATATTAATATATGTATTTATATGTACATATATATTATGTTTTAATTTTTCTAATTAAAAATGTCGATCTTTATTTGATCACTTTGTTTGTTAATTCTGGCAACTGTAACTTAAGAAGTTAGTTACATAATGGATACTACGGCGTTTATTTCATTGACAGTAGTACTGATAAATACGACCCCGAAGCCTTCATAATCTATAACAATGTTACATATTACCATCAATGATAAAGAAAAATATTTATATTTTACTGGCAAAGTGCGCAAGAGGGCAATGTCGACTTTGCCCGAGTTGCCTTTTCTACATTGTTAGTATTGTCCGGACAATGTCAATATTACCCAATGCGATTGGGTTGGGCAATGTCGACACTGCCCACTTGCGGACTTTGCCCGTAACAAGTAACTATGTTATTTTAAATAAAAAAAATTACGAAAAGTTTTTTCTTTAATTATAATATGTATATATACGTATATATCTTTGACATTTGTAAAACACTCAAAGGAAAGAACTGTCATCTTGCCCGCCGTAAGCTTCAATTGTCTTTGAGATCTTAAAATTATAAATAATAGAACGCGAACTATTTTTAGCTTTTATATTGTACCAAGCAGAATTATATGCTGCATTTCCGATCGCTTTGCTTTGTGAAGATAGATAAAATAAAAATAGAAATTCTACAATATTTTTCTCCGTAATATTATTATCAATAAACGCTAAATTATCTTAACGATTCTTTTGTTACGATCGCAATAATTTTCCGTTACTAACGTTATTGCTCGAAGCGTTATTATTCTCCAGCGAAGCAAAGTATAAATGCTTCGAGATTCGTTACAGCGTAAAATATAAGCGACCTTACTATTTTTTTTTGTTTAACGTAAAAAACGGAAAGATACGTGATGTCTTTTTCCCTTCTATCTTGTGTTTGTACTACAATCGTGAATTGTTCATTTTAAGTATCTGATACGTGCGGACGATACAGCGGTGTAGGTATATATCCGATGATCAATCGTGATGGTGCTTTAGGAAGGTTCTAATCTCTAAACTCTAAAGGATGAACAACCGGGCAATTATATGCAATTCTATAGTAAATACTACATTAATTTGCATAAAATAACTAAAAGTGATTTTGTGTTACAGAAATATAGGTACGGATAAAATAACAATTAGGATTAACAAATGCATGTATGAGTATCTGAAAATGTATATGAAATAAAATACTACGTATATATCAATCCAAATTTACGTAGATGTATATTCAAACAAATTAAATGTTATACCGTCGTTAATAACGTTGTATTGAAACTTGCTACATTATATTTTTTGGAACTAATTTTAACCTTATCTTTTATAACGAGAAATGTATGTATATCTCTAACTATTTAATTATTTTATTTAATATTTCCTCTAAAAATGCAAATGTGTGTAAAATTTTACATGGATGACATAAAAGTCAAATCTGGTTTCTATGTTTTTCATTATTTCAATTTTGATTATTGACTAAAAGTATCATCGATATAACATAATATAATACATATAATATGATATCTTACAATTTTTAGAAAATAGAAATCTGAAGAGTACTTTAACAGTATTTAAAAAATGACTTTTATAATTTTATATTTTATAATCTTTTGATTACTACGATTTTAGAATATTTTTCAATTATACTATTATTCAGTTCACGAAAATATATGTTGTACTACATGCATTTCTGTCACTAGTGAAGGTATACTTATACGATGTATGCTTCACGACTATTATATAAAAATTTTCAAGCGACGTGTTTATTGCATAGCTAGCAGTACTGATAAATACGATCCTGATGCTTTCATGATCTATAATAAAGAATGAATTTTTTGTTAGTTATAAAATATTAATTGGAAATTAATATTTTAGAATATTATGATTTTGTCACCAAGAAAAATGCGTTTCGAATATTGCTATAAAAAATTTACAAATTTAATGTACTGGCAAAAAAAATTTACGTAGACAAAAAGTAAATTTTATATAGAAAGTATCTTAATATAAATATTAGGGTTAACCGGGGTAATTGTAATGGAGCGGCGGGGTAAATGCGACAGTGTCTAGTTTTACTGTAATAAAATACAAAAAGACTTTACATTTTTTATTATTCCACGTTTAATGACGATTTGACTTTAAATTGACACAAGTTTTCCTAAGAACAAAAATTGTATATTATAATAATTATCAAATCCGTAAAGCGTTGTAAAATAGTCAGGTTATCAAAGTTCGCAGATATTTATTCAAAGTTATTTCTTTTCCAAACGAAGCCATTTTAAATACGATATTCATTACTTTAAGATTACTATAATTCTAAATAAACGTTTTGTCAAGGTTATAGTACAATTAATAATGAATATAACTTTTTAATTGAACACCACAATTACCCTACAGTGAATTCAATGTATGGAGTAATTGTGACGATAAGTTTCGGGGAAACCATGATGCTTCGCGCGCGATTGCATTAAGTTATGGCTTACCCAAATGCGACACATTGAAATACTGACGACTGTGAGTTCATTAATAATTTTACATAATTACAATTCAAATATCATATTTTGGACAATTAGCTCATATTTGTACAACAATAATAGTCATGCATAATCCGTATATATTATCAAATGAATATTAATTTCATGTTAATGATTTGTAACAATTTTGAAGTTATAAATAAGAAAACGAACCTTAAACATATCTTCGTGTTGTTTTCCTTTATCGCTCAATGTTGTCTTATATAAAATTAATAATTTTATGTTGTATTATAAGGTTTCTCAGCAAATATATATGTAATTATTTTACAGATCATGTCGCGAAACTATTATATATTCCGAAGAGAAAGAAAGTTTTACTTATGATAAGAAATATTAGTGTATTTTTGCGTAAATATATATTAAGAACGATAACATATGTTAAATGTTAAAAAGACATGTTCATCTTTGTTGAAAATATATTTTAATACTAAGAATGAATATCGTTTGCATTTTGTAATTATTATAAATGTTTTTTTATTCATTCTTAACAAATAATATTTTCCTATTAATAGTAGAAGCTTTACAATAATTATTCGTACAAGAATTAAATACAAATAATAAAAATTAAGAAAATGATACGTTGTTGAATTCCACAACTTTACGTTTTTTCGTCACAATTACCCTGGTTAACCCTATGTATACAATTATTGTCCAAAGTTATCTTGTGTCCTACGTATAAGACTTACACTTGTAAAAGATTCTAAGGAGAGATCCATTATTTTTCCAACTGTAAGTGTCAATTGCTTTTGCGCTCTTAATGTCACGAATATTAAATTACGGCTGTTTTTCGGTTTCATTTCGTACCAGGCGGAGTTGTACGCCGCATTTCCGATAGCTTTACTCTGAAGAAAGTTGGAAACCGTTAAAAGATTGCCCTTATATGTATTACAATGTCCAACAATCTCGAAATAATAATTATAGATTATTTTCATAATTATTTCCTCATATCTAACCTTGTCTTTTATATATTCTCCTGCATAACAAAATATAAATGCTTCAAGATTCGTCACGGTATAAAATAAAAGAGATCGCACTATATGCTCCGTTGCATCGGGACTGCCAATCGCCTGCAATATTAATGTAGCAATTATTAAATGCGTTCCAAAATTATAAATAGACTTTTACGTTACCCTAACGAGTTGCAAAAAATTTATTTTGCAACACAAATTTATGTTTAATTTTATAAAATATAGTATTCATTATTATGTATGAGAAATATTTAATGTATTCACTCGCCGTTACAATAAGAAATCCCAAAGAGCAAATCAGCACAGTGTTCGATGTAAATTGCACTAATGCGATGTATGTATATAAATCCTCAATATATTCCGAAAAATTAATTATTCTTTGATGCTTGCGAATAATTCTGTTTGTCGTGACGGTGACAGATTCGGATCCTTCGTGGTACGAGTTCATTTAACCTGCAACGCAGAATATCCATCTGACCACCTACATGTAAAGTCTAAAAAAAAAAAAATTGTACATTGTATCTATCAATCAAATTAATACATTAAACAGCGAAAAAAAATATTGATTTATCATAATATTTATTAGTAATTACTTTATAATTATTAATATGGATTATTTATGAGAAGTACATTTCGCACTCGTCGCAACCTACCAAAGTTAAAAGCAAGCAGTTCAATATACCCGTTCCCCAGCCGCACATAATGAGATGCACGAATTGCATGGTCAGAAGCATTTTATACGTTAATTTTGTGTTTATGTTAACAGGAAGATCCACCTTTAAGAGAAGAGGTAATTCGGACTTCCCGGTGACGTCGACGTCAGCCAAAAGAATGCCAATACTATACGCAACAATAGCTAACGTGTAAAGCGTGAATATTACACTAGTGATACGATTTGCTAATATAGCTATGCTCGCTGTTTTGCGCATATTGATGTTACTGCCAGAGCAATCGTTCCAGTCTTCTGCCATCATCGTCAAGATCTTAAAGAATTTCCTACAAATTATTAATTTGGTTATTCTGCCGGCTATGGGACAAATGATACAGAATTATGTATTTAGAGAAGTATATTGTATAAAGTATTATTACATATAATTATGTAAACGCGTATTATTAATTATGTATCACTTTCTTTAAAAATGATATTTTAACTTGCCAATTTCTTTACATTTTGTCAAAATAAAATGTGTACAAAAATTTTTTTCTCACTTTTTGTCACAAAATTTAAAAAAACAAATATTTGTATATAACAAATAATGATTATTAAATATTTTAATTATTTATTTATCTAAATATGTATTAATTGTAATGAATTTGGATAGTAACGACAGATAATAGTAGAATTAACTTTAGGTAATATACATGCAAATTATTTATTGTGTAGCATTTATATTTACCGTTCATTCAGCCAGAATACAATCAACTTAAATGTCAATTTTATTTGCGTTAGGAAACTACTGAAACAGTCCATCAAGTCAAACAAATCGTTAGAATGCAGATGCATTAAAAGATAACGGCAGTGACAAATATCATCTATTACTAATGCGATAATCCAATACGCCCTGCAGATTATAACGCACTTTGTGCCTGGCCATATACCGCACAGAATAAGCGTTAATTTTAACGTACGATTAATTGTGCTTTTACGCGTCATAGTTCTTTATTTCACTTCGCTTTCGTTTTTACGCGAGGAAAAACATCAGTTTATACGTAGGACAAACACTTTTTTTTCAGGGAGGTAAAGGAACTGTGTTCTCTCTTTCTGTATTTCTCTCTTTTGTACAATATTCAATATTTCTCACTCAGTATTTTCCAGCGAGTACTCGATGTATCTTCTAGAATAACTTTACAAAGACTGGAAGGTCCTATGAGATCATCAAATGGGCGCTCTCTACTATGATCGGCCAATGAGAGTATGTCATTAAATATTTTCATCATGCAGCCCTCGCTCGCATACACTTACCGTAGCTTTTCACAACATCGATATAAGAAGAGAGAGAATACATAGGGTTATTTGTACTTCCCTTAGGGGCTCGTAATGTAATCGCATATTATCCATTTTAAATATGCAATGATTCATGCGGACATGAACGCGATGGTGTACGCATCATACGGTCAGTCGCACTTCAGCTTACACTCCGGAATAGTTTTGAAATTCATGCGCTAAAGCTACAGCAAAAAAGCAACAAATAAACCCATATGCAGTGCTAATATATAAGTATTTTCAAATGCACAAAGCAGCATATCTGTGAGCACTGGTGTTTTACAAGAAATCAACAAGTGCATAGACTGCATATGTAACAATCGGTGTAATGATGGTACAATATAATGTTTCATATACGAAAGTATGTTTGAAGGACTGAGGAGTTGTATGTCTTAAATAGAAACCATGTAAAAACATAATTTTTTTCAAATTAACGAAAAAAAATATCACGATTTCAGTGTTACAGTTTTCTATTTACAATTAATAATTATATTGCATTAGTCTAAAAGTATATATTTAAAAAATATTTACTATGTGTTTATTAATATATGTATTTATATGTACATATATATTATGTTTTAATTTTTCTAATTAAAAATGTCGATCTTTATTTAATCACTTTGTTTGTTAATTCTGGCAACTGTAACTTAAGAAATTAGTTACATAATGGATTTACGGCGTTTATTTCATTGCCAGTAGTACTGATAAATACGATCCCGAAGCCTTCATAATCTATAACAATGTTACATATTATCATCAGTGATAAAGAAAAATATTTATGTGTTACGGACAAAGTGCGCAAGTGATCAATGTCGACATTGCTCGAGTTGTCTTTTCTACAATGTCAGCATTGCCCGGACAATGTCAATATTACCCAATGCAATTGGGTTGGGCAATGTCGATACTTCCCACTTGCGGACTTTGCCCGTAACAAGTAACTATAATGTTATTTTATATTAAAAAGTTAAGAAATGTTTTTTCTTTAATTATTATATGTATATATATATATCTTTTACATTTGTAAAGCACTCAAAGGAAAGAACTGTCATCTTGCCCGCCGTAAGCTTCAATTGTCTTTGAGATCTTAAAATTATAAATAATAGAACACGACTATCCTTAGCTTTCATATCGTACCAAGCAGAATTATACGCTGCATTTCCGATCGCTTTGCTCTATGAAGATATGTAGATATAATAAAAATAGAAATTCTACAATATTTTTCTCTGTAATATTATTATCAATACCATAAACGCTAAATTATCTTTAGGATTCTTTTATTATAATCGCAATAATTTTCCGTTGCTAACCTTATTGCTCAAATATTCTCCAGCGAAGCAAAATATAAATGCTTCGAGATTCGTTACAGCATAAAATAAAAGTGATCTTACTATTTGTTCAGTGGCATCGGGACTGCCAATTGCCTACAATGTTGAGGTAGAACGAAAATAAACATATTCAACACATAAAAAATTGTTTCAATTTGTTATAAATAGTTATTTATAATAAATTAAATAATGCGATATAACATAAATATGCAAGATAGATCATTGTATAAAAAATTAAGTAATGGTATTGATTCTAAGATAAAATGCGTATTTTCATATTTGAAATTTGAATAACTTTACTCACAGTCACAATAAGAAATGCTAATGAGCATATCATCACTATATTTGATGTGAATTGAAGCAAAGCGATGTATGAATAGAGGTTTTCAACGTTCTCCGAAAGATTGATAATCTTTTGATGCTTTCGAATAATTTTCGTCGTGACAGTGACGAATGAATCATGCTTGTTCTCGATGTCTTTTGATCCAATTTTTGTCAACCAGCAAAGCAGGATGTTTATTTGACTGCCTACGTGTAGAGTCTACTAATAAAGATTCTGTCATTTATGACACAATGTGATTACAATTATTTGTTTTACTTTTAAACTATAAAAATATTGTTATGAGAAATGAACATAATAAATCGCACGAGGGTGAATTAAACCTGATGAATATTTAATTCTCGAATTTACTCTAATATTTATGCTAATGATTTACAGTTAGCTATTAATTACAAATATAATTATATTTTTCTTATGGTACTTGCTTATGTAGGTGCAGGTTACCAGAGTTAGAAACAGAGCGTTGAATAAACCAGCTCCCCAACTGCACACCATCACGAAAAGGAACTGCGTAACTAATACCAGACTGTACTTGCGTTGCGTGTCTATAATGAAGGGATATTCCATTTTCATCATGAGAGGGAGTTCAGCCGTTCGATCGGTGACGTCGGCATCGGCCAGGAGAATACCAATGACGTATGCAAACGCGGCGATTGTATGAAGAATAATTAATCCATTACAAATACGACTCGATAGTTTTGTTTTGCCTGCCGTTTCGCGCACCGCAACACCGTCGTTATTGCAATCGTTCCAGTCTTCCGCCATCGTTGTCAAGATTTCTACGAATTTTCTATAAACAATCGGATATTTTAGAACGGTTGCAGCATATTTTCACATTACTTTTTTTACGAAATTTTAATTATTTAATTGATTAATTTTCGCTTACCGTTGTTTCAACGAGAAAATAATAAGCTTAACGGTTAGTTTTACATGCGCCAAAAAGCTACTCAAACAGTCCATCAAATCGAAAAGATTGTCGAAATGAAAATGCGTTACAAAGTACGAGTAGTGGAAGAATTGATTAATTGCTAGCGTAATCATCCAAAACACTCTGTAGAGTATAACGCATGATATACCTGGCCAGACACCGAACATGGTGAGCATAAATTCTACCGTTCGATTGATCGTACGATTATTCCTCATAATTTCTTGTTTTTCTCTGCAATTGTCTATTTACAAGTCAAAATCTAGGAATACTCTCGAAGTATAAGAAACATGTGTGTTCTAGCTGAAATTATGTTCTCCACGTACTTGATGTACGTTGTAGAAAATTTACGTGAAGACTGGAATTCTAAGAAAATATGAAGTAAACAGCACTCTTGGGATTGACCAATGATGGTTGTTCATTAAATATTTTTATCGTACTGCGTGCGCATAAAGAAGCAATCTCTTGTAATTTAAAAAAAGAAAGGGAATGGGCAAAGTCGTCTCACGTTCTGTTCAATGGAGATTATGCACTCACGAATAATTTGCGTAAATATATAATGATATCTAGTGATCTATACGATGAATATACCTCTGCTAGCAAGACGCGATCTTGGAAAAGTCTTAAGATCTAGAGGGCAAAAAAGAGATTTGAGAGGAAAATATAGAGAAATTTGCCAAGTAATTGTGCACAAAATATTATTTAGTCATAAGGTCTCAACTTCTCACAAACAATCACCTTTGAAAGAAAAGACCTGTTGAAGGATATTTTTCATGTAAGATAGTTACTGCGTATTTGCAACTATTATTTGCTTTAATAATTCAGAGTGTCGTATGAAACGTCACGGATTGTGGACGATTGCACATCGGAATTAAACTTGCTCTAAAGTCTCGGTAAAATAAAAATATAGAATATAAAATAGTAATAAGACTCAACAAATTTAAAAATTCGAAAGGAATTAGGACTACGAGCCAAAGGTTAATTATTGTGAGTTAAATTATTTGTATAAACATATCATAACAATAAAAAACACTTTAATGTCTGCTATAAACAATTAAAAATCAAAGACAAAAGAACAAAGAACAGACGTTTCGATCCCTTATCAATGTTGAAATAAAATTAAATTAGAATTATACTACGATCTCATATTATTCAGATGACATAATTGAAGCATGGTGCAATGGAAAACGGTAATATAATGTTCCTCCGTATAAATGCATGATTATAATTTCTTATGTTAGAATCTTAATAGACAAGCAATGCGACGAGAGAGAAAAATCGTGTCATCATTATATTGTCTGTGCTGAGACAATATAATGAGACATATTGTCTCAGTACAGACTAAAGATGACACGATTTTTCTCTCTCGTCGCATTGCTTGTCTATTAAGATTCTAACATAAGAAATTATAATCATGCATTTATACGGAGGAACATTATATTACCGTTTTCCATTGCACCATGCTTCAATTATGTCATCTGAATAATATGAGATCGTAGTATAATTCTAATTTAATTTTATTTCAACATTGATAAGGGATCGAAACGTCTGTTCTTTGTTCTTTTGTCTTTGATTTTTAATTGTTTATAGCAGACATTAAAGTGTTTTTATTGTTGTGATATGTTTATACAAATAATTTAACTCACAATAATTAACCTTTGACTCGTAGCCCTAATTCCTTTCGAAAATTTAAAAATATAAAAGTATAAGGCACTATAAGAAATAAAATAAAATTATTAAAATTAAGTATCATAAATGTGAATTTCTCGTACAATTCTTTGAATCTTTGTTACCTGTAACATATCTCTCTCGGATAAATAAAGAAAATTTAATGTCAATTTTACAATTAATATAATGAATTAATTCATATTACTGATTTGCACGCACTTGCACGAATCATTCAAATAATAAAAGTAAAACAAATATTATATTATACAGCAAAATGCGATTTTTATTCAATACGTGCATATTATTTATATATAATAATCAGATTTAACAATTATAAATTACTACATCGTAGCTATAATGTTAAGCACTCGTATCTTTGTTGTCAATATATCGCTAGCATTACTGATACATAAGATGCTGAAGCTTTTATAATCTATAACAAATATTATGCATTTATCATTAAATTAATACATAAAAATGCAGGTAATATAAAAGATATATGTGAAATGTTATTTATTATAAAAACTGTACTATTGTAAATATAAAAGGTGTAGGATTGTAAACATATAATATGTATAGTACATATAACAATATATTTATATTTATATATTTAAGTTAAATATATTTAAAATATTATATGTATATTTAAGAAGGAATTTTAATTTTTACAGTACAAAAATATTTTGACAGTATTCTTACACTGACATATCGTTCGAGGGAAAGGTCCATAAATTTTCCAGCTGTAATCGTCAATTGGTTTTGCGATCTCATTATCAAGAGCAAAATAATCCGGCTGTCTTGAAATCTGCATTGATACCAACAGGAGTCGTATGCAGCATCTCCAATTGCTCTGCTCTATATACCAGAGAGTTAAGCAAAGAGAAAAATTAACAGTTCATTTATTAATAAATGAATACATTATAGACGTTAATATTAACCTTAAAACTTAAATATTCTCCAGCAAAACAAAACATGAATACCTCAAAATTCATTATAAGGTAAAATCCAAGGGACTTCATTATAATCGTAGCAGCATTGGGCCTTCCAATTGACTTAGGAATATTAAAAATAATACTTGTGATATATATATAATATATATAATGGTGATATTAAAATAATTAATGATAAGTAGGCTAACATAAGTAAAGTTATATATAAATTAAAATAAAGTTAAATAAATTACCAGTAACCTTTTTACAAAAATTTCTTTTTTTTAATTATTGATTGTTCAGCAACAATCCAATAAGCAAGAAATATTTTGAAACGTTTTAGCGACATTGCTGCTATGTGTTGCTGGAATGTTTCAAAACATTTTGGCTTACTGGGAACACTCATCATAATTACTTACCGTAACCAGCACAAAACCGATGCAACATATAATCAAACTATCTGACACGAATAGAATCAACGCAATATCGGAATATAAATTTTCAATGCTTTTTGAAAAGATAATAATACTCTGATGTTTTTCAATTATTTTCCTCATCATTGCTAGGTTCAGCCTGTGTCCATTTTCCTCTGAAATGATGTTTGTGAACCATTTTCCGAGAATCTCGATTTGACCAGCTAAATGTAATACCTAAAAGATTTCGAAAGCGTGATTTCATCTACATTTTGTACATAATCTCAATAATTATATAATTCCATAGAACATTGCGTTACATTAGTTAAGGTCGCAACAATTATAAATTTTTAAAACAATACTTTTCAAGACAATTTCAACTTACTAAGACAACGAGGAGAACGTTTAACATGACAACAGTACAGCCACATAGCACTGTGCAAAAGAATTGTGTAACTAATACCAATCCATAAACAAATCGTGTATTATTATTATTGAATGGAAAGTCCATCTTTAGAATAAGCGGTCGCATGGATATGTCAGTCTCTTCTAGATTACTCGTATCAAATGTGAACACGCTAGCGGTGTATAATGTTATGGCTATCGAAAAGATACCAAAGACGGTTTTAGCGAAATTCTGGGATAGAATGGCTTTGTTTGTTCTCACACGTGCACTAAAATCAGCACTGCTATTTTTTTTCCAGTCCATCGCCATCATCTTCAATATCTTATCAAATGTTCTATTTTATTAATTATTTTTTATTATGAGCGATTTTATTAATTATCACAATATAATAGTAAAAAGAATTTTAATTTTCTGGAGCTACTACATATGCAGGAATTTGTATAACATTGTGCACAAATAATATGATTAAAAATAATAGTGCCTCTCTTTATGAAAATATTATTAATATCTTTCTAACATTTAAATTATAGCTATTCGTGTCTTACCGCTGATTGAACCAGAAAATGATGAGTTTAGAAAAAAATTGGCTAAAACTCAAGGTTGCACTTAAACCATCCATCAAATCGGAAAGATTGACAGTGTGTAAGTGCAAAATAATATATCGATATTGTAAAGATTGAGTAGCCACGAGTGCAATCGTCCAAAACATTCTATAAAATGGAATGTACGGTGAACCTGGCCAGATACCAAAAATACGAAGCGGAATTTCAACGGTTCGATTGATAGTGCTTGTAGGTATTTGTTTCATACTTTTTTCGTTTTCAACTTTTTATATTATAATAATTTACTGTATTCTCATCTTCTTTTATAAAAATATATATGTATAATTTGTATTATAACTGATATTACTAAATCGTACAAAGCTGATCAATCATACGATGTGTAAAACTGAGCGTCTCGATACGAATTGAAAAATTTTAAGAGAAAGCGAAAAGAACACATTTTAGTCTTCTCACAGTTATTAAATATTTGCGTTTGCGCGTTTAAATTACATACGCAATTGCTATGCCTTTCCTATTACTCGTAATTCTTGTAAGAAAAAAAATATTAAGAGGATATCTCTTAAATCAATAATAATTCTACAGACACTGATGCAGAAGTAAGCGATTTGCTTTAAAAATTCAAGCAAACATAGATAAGCAACACTCAAACGCAAATGCGAATATTAAATTTATAACGGCGGAGAGCATAAAAAAAAATTTCAACCTGCGTGAAAATCGCATGTTTAAAGAAAATCGAGAGCACCGATCGTGGTTATAGTTATACGCTCTCAGACTTTAAAATACGATAAAATAAAAAAAAAAGAAAAGCGAAGAAAAAGAAATTTACAACTCAGGCTCTTCACCCTCCTTCTCTTTGTTTGTCCCTTTGTATAACGCAGTATAACAAAGTAATGCAGTTAAAATACAGGACGCTATGTGCGCAGAAAATATATTAAGTCGGAATGGAAATCGATAGGACTCGAAGCAAAGAGAGAATAATGAGCGAACACGGAGAAAGAGAGAGAGAGAGAGAGAGAGAGAGAGAATCATAAGTTCACTTTGTTCGACTTCATTTAACACAACTTTACGTATATTTCGAGTTATTGATTTTTCTTCCGAGTTTATTCTGGTTTTCAACGAAAGCGCACATTCAAGCACATTAACGCACATAATAAACGACAGAGCAGCAATAATATCGAAATATAGATTTTTATGAGTTTTAACTTGTATGCACAAAATTATTAAATTATAATATCCAACTTTTAATATTTATTTAAAAAAGAATGATACATAAAATCTTATTTCATTTTGATAGAGTGAAAGCAGAATCGTGATTTAACTAAATATTACAATCTGTTAATTGTTTCTCATGCGTAAAAGATAAATTAAAATTAAAATAAATAAAATTAATTGTAATATCAAATATTATTATTTGTTTCATTAGGAAAAGTGATATATGATTATGGAAGAAAGGAGGATTAGAAATAGCACAGGAGAAAAAAGACAGAGATGTATAAAGGTAGGAAAAAAATGCGAATGAGAGAACTGAGGTACAATAGGGCATTAAGAATAACAAGGATGTTGAGATATTTTTAGGCAAAAATAAGTAGTGAAGGGTAGCGGAATGTAAGCGTCGGAAAAATAAAAAAGGAAAACGAATAATAGAGAAGATAAACACAGGTTAAATGTGGAAAAGACTAAGAAATATGAAAGTATGTGTGAATAAGTGATGAAAAGAAAAAACAAAAAATAAAGAGAGAGAAAGAGAAAGAGAGAGAGAGAGAGAAATTATACTCTAAAGATATTAGTAGGATGAGAGTCAAGAAAAAATTGTAAATATGATAAATATATGTAGCAAAGTGTGTTGGGGAAAATAAAAATAACTAAAAACAAAAATATCTTATACAGAATATAAAATATTAAAAAATGTATGTTTTTTTCACGTAGCGCACGTATAGACATGAGATATGCAAAATGACGATGAGACAATGAAAAATAATGAAAGAGAAGACAGAATGTAAAATATAACTATAAACATTATTTTTTTAAACAATTTCTAAATATTTAAATTTACAATTTTTTATAATTGAACATAATGAACTTTTTTCTAGAACATGGCCAGCAGCACAGATACAAATAGGACGCCGATGATTTCACAATCTGTAATTGTAATAATTATAGAGAAAGGATAAAAATATAACAAATATAATGGAGTTTTCTTTCGATTATACTGTTAAAATATATCAATGACAGATCTATAACTTTTAATTGTAAACAATATAAAAATAAATAGAGTAGGCTAATGAGAGTCAGTAACTATAAACGGCGCAATTTCTTAGTGAATAATTAATACTTAGAAATTGGATTGATGTCTTTTTTATTTAATGAACGTTTCTCTCAACTCTCTTTGGAGTTCTCTTCAGCAAGAAAGATACAAGTATAAATAGCTCACATGTCCATAACGATTAAGTCACTCACAAATTAAAGATAAAGATGAAGCGTTATATATATATACTGATCATCATGGAAGCGTATCATGAAGCTTAGTACATTTGATCGTACATTTTGAAATCATGTCGTCATACACGGACATGATTTCAAAATGTACGATCTTTATATCTGAATTTAACATATCTACTTTTTAAATTTAAATATTATATATGTAACTAAGCTTCTTGACACGCTTCATGTTACATGATGATCAGTAACGCTTCATCTTTATCAATTTGTGAGTGACTTAATCGTTATGGACATGTGAGCTATTTATACTTGTATCTTTCTTGCTGAAAAGGACTTCAAAGAGAGTTGAAACGTTCATCAAATAAAGAAGACATCAATCCAATCTCTGAGTATTAATTATTCACTAAGAAATTGCGCCGTTTATCGTTGCTGACTCTCATTAGCCTACTTTATTTATTTTTATATTGTTTAAAATTCGAAAGTCCTATTATAATTATTATTGTTTTTTAATTATAATTTGGTTAATCATATTTTTGCGATCTCAAATAAAAAATGATATCATTTAACTCTCGTTTACGTGCATATTGTACCAAAGAGATTCATAAGTCGCATTGACGATATGCTGATTTTAAAGGCCAAATGAAACAGATTTTCTAATTATTTACTATTACGAACATAATTTACACGTAAAACATGACAAAAGAATTAAAGCTGTCAAGCTATATGTTATATATAACAAAAGCTAATCGTCCTTAATTCCTACGTAACTGCAGTTAAATTGGTTTAAATATAAAGATTTAAATATTATATATCCGTTATTAAAATTAAAGTTTACAGGACAAGTATTAATTAAATGTCACTCGTTGTCAAGCTGAAACATTATATATTTGTAGACTACTTTAAAATGGATTACGAAATCGAGTTATTGAGTTAACATTATACCTTTGTAGTAATTCCTCGACCAAGCAAAAACTGAACGCCTCGAGGTTCATGATGATGTAAAACGGAATACTCTTCACCAATATTGTGGAAACGTTTATTGACTGCAACGTTATTTGCATTATAATATCCTGTACATTCTTTTCATATCTTTATCCTTCAAACTATGCGATTACCACTATTCTCTAAAATCGAAATTCTACCTTTTTTAATATTATTATAGAGAATAGTATTATAGAATATTATTATCTAACGCGTAATGTTGGAACACTTATATAAAATTCAAATCAATTTTATACCTTTTTAATATTTTAATTTTAGTATTAATAATTTAGTTTTTATTACTTTTAGTCGAAAATTATATTCTACATATTTTTTTGTCAGCAGCTTTCTAAATAATATATATTTAACTACTGAAAATCATGAAATTATTGATAACAATTAATTTTCTTGACATCTCTTAATTTGACTCGCAATAACAGTAACAATTTCTACGGAGCAAATAATTAAAGTATTCTACACATAAATTGCAGCGATGTAACAATATTACCCCCAACATTTTTTATAAATAAAATAAACTTATAATGTTTATCAGATTAACCATAATGATTCTGATTAAACGGTACATGTTTTCCTTTTTGCAAAAAGGATTTCATAAGAATTAATTTGATCACTAGTATGAAATATCTAAAAATTACAGTAACGAAACAAAAATAACTATTGAGATAAACCTTATAGCGCACTTTATATAAATAACACTATCGGGAAACTAAAACATATACACACGTATCAACAAGTTAATTGAACTGGAAGAAAGATACATAAGTAAATATCTTTGACAAAAAAGTTATTTTAAATACTTTTTTACATTATTTTGTATATATATATATATACTATGTATACATATGATGCTAGAATATTGACAGATAATGAATACATATTATAAAATTTAATAAAGTAAAGTCTGTAAAAAAGATTTAAAAAATTTAAGTTATTATGAGCCAAAAAAATTTAACTCATGCCTTTTTCTTTTACATTGCTTTATTATAGCAATAAATCATATAATATCGATGCAAAATTACTTTAAACAACTTAAATTTTAGCTTACAAAATTAATGTAAAGTTTTATCTATATCCAATTAACGAGATTTATGATCAGAAGCATATTGACGATGATTACTTCATGTAAAATTATTTTGAACTTTAGCAATAAATCTTGACTTACCAATGTCATAATTAAAGCGTATTTAGTACGTCAATCGAGCACGCTTTTGTCAGATGGTGAAAAAATTGCGTTATCATTATGAGCTTGTACAGATGAATTATTGCTGTCGAAGAAAAATTCCATCCTCAGGATAAATGCCCGAA